AATTGCTCAGTGATTGCCCGAAGTGACGATTGGATTGGACCTGACAACAAGGGTTTGGAACACTGTTACTTGTAAGGTGTATGTGCTTTTTTTTAGCCCATTCTGACTAGAACTTGCGACACATGGCTTCAAGAATTTAATAGTCTTGGGCATTTTATCTTGTTTCCGTATTTTGTTTGTTTTTACAACTTATTAGGGAGGAAAGGGTCACAAGTGTATGATTTTGAAGGAATTTGTTTTAATCTGAATTACCGTTCGGCCGTCGGATTTGTAGTTGTTGAAAGGCAGAGTAGTGGAAGATCCAAGATGGGGGAGGCTACCCTGGGGGCAACCCCCCATACTTACCTCAAGAAAATGGCCAGTTTAGAATGAAGATGACAGATGCACACTTGACGTGTTCATGTGCGTGTATCGGTTAACATAATGACAACGTTGAGATCATTCAAATTGCAGCTCTATGATGATGTGTAGTCAGACATCTCTGCGCTTTGTTTTAATCTGCTGCTTGCCCGTTGTTGACATGTAGAATTGTTCAGATGACAGACGGGACAGGAAGGACAGAGATAAAAAAAAAGGAATTAATGTGATGGTCTTGGAATTAGCTGCAAGAAAACATGTTCTTGAATTTACATTATTGGGTGACCTGCGGGACCAGCGTATGCTTGTCTGGAGCCCATTAGTGTGTGTGGCAAAGGTCTTTATTACCTTTTACGTATACCGCACCGTCAGCCTGGTTGTAAAAAACGGCAATATGTTGCTGTTTCTGGTGTCTTGAATCAACCACCCCCCCATAAAAAAAAAGAAATCAAACTTACTAAAAGTTGGCAAAGAAAGATGCTTGTTGGTGAAGTGTTCAGGAAACAAGACATCGTCTTATATTTTGACTTACACTTAAATATCTACAGTCCTTACGTTGGTTTTGTGGTGGAAATGTTTGATTTTCAATGCGGAAAGAAAAATATAAGGTAAGTTCATCACATTTTTTGGACATGCTCTTTTGGACTGGTGTGCAAGTCAAACAAATCTTGGGGAATATTCAAGCTCCCAAATACAGTACGCTACAGGAATCAACCAGCAGAGATTCCTTTGTTTCGTTCCCTGGGCATTTGTGATAACATCTTCCAATCAAACTCATGCCCCAAGGCATAGAAATGTTGACAGTCTGGTAGGATTGATGATGCTTTCCCCTCAGACCTTTCTGGCTCGGCCGGCCGGCCGAGGGGTTTCGTTTCCACTTCCCAGATGGCTCTCGCGCAGCCTCCTTGTGCCCTCTTGGTGGGACTTTTGCACTTAAGTTTCGCTCTTGAGACTGCAGCTGCGAATGTGGTCTGACTGGCACGACTCTAATTATGCTGGCCAGCTCCCCATGAGGCCCCACTGAATGTTATCTTTTTTTTTTTCATTCTCTGGCCAGCATTAGATTGAAGAGAGCGGATATGGGTCTTGGAATGTCTGAAGACTGTAAGAGTCAAACTGCGAGGGAGCTGACTACACACGTATTTCATTTTTGATAGGATCAGGGTTGTGTGGTAACAGTGGTTGGGGTGGGAACATGGCTCACAGATTTGGTAATTAAGGAAACACCCTGAACCCTATGACAGAATTTGTCAGCAGGATGAAGTTAGCAGAGCACCTATAACCAGGGAGTACAGCAGGAAAAAAAATTGTGTGCGACAAAAGTAATGTGAACACCAGTTGAAAATAGACTCATTGTACAGGTTCACCGCAGGTTTATTGGATCCATTTGTGGCCGGTGCACTGTTTCTGCTTGGGATACATTTCTGGTTCGTGGATTCTCAAAGATGGCCCACAAGCACAAGAATTTGCTATTTAAAGTGTATAGTTCATATTAAGTAAGCTGAATTGTAACAGCTCTGCCCTAGGTGTAAATTACAAGTATGCAAACATGTATGTGTAAATTTGCATATCTTAAATATCTTTGATATGGATATTTATTGTGAATATAAAGATTATGTGCCAGTTTTTTGTTGCTATTTGAACATTCATACTCAATGTCGCAAAAACGGAAAGGAAGGCCGTAATTGCATGTGTAAGGGTATTACAACAAACTATGCTTGTACATGTATGCATGTTGTAATCAAATTTCTTTGTATTGGAAGCTTTGACCACGAGTTTGAATATCGTAATTTGCTAATAATATTTTCAGGAACTGATGAGACCCCGCCAGAGGTTATTGATTGCCCATTCAGGGTTGCCGGCTTTGCGCTGCCGGGCCAGGACACAGGAATAGGTACCTGGACCGAGCCCACAGCGATCGACGACAGTGGGGAACCGGTCAGGGTCGCCCGGACCCATGCCCCGAACACGCTCTTCCCCATAGGGCAGACGCCGGTCTCATACTTTTTCACCGACACCAGCGGAAACCGGGCCGAGTGTACATTTACGGTTTCCATCAGAGCAGGTACCCTTGTCGGGATGTTTTTGGGAAGCCTCATGGAGTCATCGGTGGCAGAAAGCTTTAATTCACTGAGTGGCTGGTGCCCACTAACTTCATCTACTTGCGATTAACCGTTTAATTTTTCCGAAAAACACTCTTAACCCCCAAAACACCCCAACTGTCAAACCAAAGACTTTTGGGCTTAATGGAAAGTACCAATATGGTACACTGTCTTGCAGTTATTAAACATGATGTGATGTTGTCTGTGGTGTTGCTGTGTTCGTTATCTGTGCCATTTTCTGTAAACCCATCTATAGGTCTACACTCTCTCTGTATGTAGCATGAATAAATGTATAATGTCTGTATGTTATACCATATGCGCTGTCATTGTTAATGACAGGCTTTGGTGCCCATTTGCAGCTTGTGCAAATGCCATCATTGTGTGCATTGCTTTGCTGTCTTCATCTGCTTCAGTAATATTTGCTCATCAATAACCATCATGAACGAGGGAGACTTTCTGTGATTGTGCTTCCATGAACTGTATGAATGTTTGTGCTTGCCCACCCGTGCATGTACATGTAACCAGTTTATATGGAATGTTTCAACCGTAATGTTCGTACCTGTGAGCAACCCCGGCTTACCCATGTGTGTGTTTGCAGATGTTGAATTGAATTTTTCCACTTTCCTCAGGTGTTTTGCATGTCACACGTGTTCAGTGTCCAGGATTGGTGGAGTTCTGTTGGTCAACTGATTGTTCTGTCTGTGTACTGTTACGGGACGCCCTCGTGTTACTCTTGCCAGTCTTTCTAACCCTCCTCACAAAGTGTAGCTTTCTCTGAGCCTCTTGTCCTCAAGAGGGGGAAGGATTTGTTTGGTCATGGATTTCTAATGAAAGGGCAGCATGGCCACGGTTGCCAAGTTTCTCGTGAGGGTCTGGTATTTGGTTTTGTGACAGTAAGATTACTGTCCCCAGACTGTGGTACATCTTTACCTATCAACCTTGCATTCTCAATCTTAGATTTTTGTCTGCAGCCTGTTAAATGAGACCCCAATGCCTTTCCTTTCGTCCATTCTTTCCACCATGCTTCGTTCTTCTCTGTCACAATATCCATCACTGGTCTATGTTGCGTGCTTTGTGTACATGTACATGTACCGGCGATGGTTTCTCAGCCTTCACTGTTTGATTTAATGTGAGATTGTCTGTTCAGATCACGCTTGATGGCTGTGCTGTTTCTTGCTGACTCTAATGGTAACCCAGTCCACTGCTGTTTAAGTGCCTTAATTGGGTGCATCACTGGTAATTTACTTCATGATGGGCAGGATACCAGTTCCCCATCTTCAATGTCAAGCCCTTTTTGCCCCTCTGGTATGCAGCAGAGGATGAGACACCTCCAGTGGTCAACAACTGTCCCATTCAGGTTGGTGGGACCGTGGAAGTGGGTGAAACGGAAGGGTTTGTAACCTGGAAGGAGCCCACGGCAAGGGATAACGACGGCAAACAGGTGCGCGTCAACACAACGCACACGCCCTCAACGCCGTTCCCTATTGGACGGACCACGGTCCGGTACCTTTTCACCGACTCGAGTGGGAACCAAGCCGAGTGCACTTTTGTTGTGAACATGGTGCAAGGTAGGGAGATTCCGTGGTTTAATACAAGTTGTACTTTTTTGCATTGCAAGTAATAAGCAATGACATTGTCAAATACTGAGGACAAAGTGGACAATGAGCTCTATGTTTACACATATACAATGTAAAGTGGAATATTCGTTTAGTGTTTTGGAACTTGGACCAAAAGGCACATGTAAATAGTGTAACTCATTCACTGGTGTTATTGAATAATACTTTCCATTCATATGCATAAATTCTGTTGTGAACAAAATTGTTTGAAGGGCTATTTGTTACATGCAGAGGAAGACAGGACACCACCCGTAATTACCGGTTGTCCGCAACGAGTTGTTGGCTCAGCCAGCCCTGGTGAAAGCAGGGCGGTTGCGACATGGGACGAGCCCACGGCCAAGGATAATGGGGGACAGGTGCGTGTGGGACGCACCCACCTCCCGTCCACGTACTTCATGCTGGGTCCGACCAGAGTCACGTATATCTTCACTGACAACAGCGGGAACCAGGCGGTTTGCGAATTCGATGTTGAGATTGTGCAAGGTACAGTGTCACTGTACCTTAGCATTTTACTAAAAGGGTGGAAGGTGACTTCCTCCACCATACTGTTGGGGTTAATATTCTGTTCTAAATCTCGTTTTGGTGTGGAATTCCTAGTGTCTGAAGGACGATAAGTGTACACAATACTTGTTTAGTGCTTTTGTCATTCTACAATGTATTCCAAAGTCACTTGATCCTTCATTGGATATCTACTTCCCAAAAGTTGAACTTCCCTGCAAGTCAGATTTAAAAGTTGGTGATGGGACAAGTGGATGACGAATGCCTTGCTTGAAACCAAGCCTATTTGCTTACTCTCAGAGGAAGACAGGACGCCGCCCGAAATCGTCGGTTGTCCACGCAACGTGTTTGGCATTGCGCGCCCCGGTGAAACTGAAGGGATAGCCACGTGGGATGAGCCCACAGCCCGAGACGATGGCGGAGAAGTACGCGTGGCCCGCACCCACGCCCCTTCGTCGAGGTTCGCACTGGGTCCGACCAGAGTCGTGTACTACTTCACTGACCCTAGCGGGAACCGGGCAACTTGTGAATTTGTTGTTCAGATTCGGCAAGGTACATCTACAGACTCACTGACATTTTTTTGGTTTGTTGTGTAGGTTTTTTGTTTTTTCTTCTGGAAAAGGTATCAAAAAAGTGAATGAATGTATTGTTTTGCACTTGGTGGTCCTTTTGAGAACTGTTTACTTTATAGATATACGTATACCAGTGTGTCTTTCTGTCGTAAAGAAATCTATTTGTAGCAAATTGACTTCCAGTCAGTGCCGCAGACATGTAATAGCGCTTCCTTTTCTTCTTGAGATAATGTACTTGCATGAAGTTGTATCAATGTTGCTTTGATTTATGTAAAATATTGCATGTGGAAGTGCATGTAGATAATTTTGGTTAAAGGTGCAGTTGTTGAATGTCCATTAAACATTAATTGGTAGAGGTGGACAGGACACCGCCCGAAATCATTGGTTGTCCGCGCAATGTATTTGGCTTTGCGAGCCCCGGTGAGAGTGAAGGAGTGGCAACGTGGGATGAACCTGTAGCCCGAGACGATGGCGGAGAGGTACGTGTGGCCCGCACCCACGCCCCCTCCTCGAGGTTTGCACTGGGTCCGACCAGAGTCGTGTATTACTTCACTGACCCTAGCGGGAACCGGGCAACCTGTGATTTCGTTGTTCAGATTCAACAAGGTACGATGGATCTGACTCCTGTGGTTTTGGGGGCGGTGAACTATCATATGTTCTTTCATGTCTACAAATTGGAATATTCAATATTTACTCAACCATTGTGGCATTTCTAAAAAATCAATTGGGCCCTTAGTGATTTGTATTAATTTCACCCCTGATGACCAACTAACCCTGAAGAGCAGTTTTGTTTGTTTTGTGTTTTTCAAAGAAAACATACAGTGATGTTCCATTTGAAAATGTGCATTTTTCTGTTTGTCCTTAACGTAATGTGACTTGTGGTTAGTGATACATACCAGTTTGGATCATAGATTAGTGGAGACTTGCAGGATTTTTGCATTGAGTAGAAACATGGAAAATTTTGGAAATGAAGCCGCGAGTAACGTGGCCTTTCCAAAATATTTTCTCCTTGTATGGTTGCCGTATTACCGTTTGAACCTAGAATATAAAGCCACTGTGTCCCACCCTTTTACTTGTTAAACAGCCGAGGACAACACCCCGCCAGTGATCACTGGTTGCCTCGACGACATATTTGAGACCCTCGAGCCCGGGGCGATTGACAAAACTGTATCATGGGTGGAGCCCACGGCCTCCGATGACAGCCAGAAGCCAGTGGAAGTCTTACAGACCCACTGGCCGGACTCGTCACGGTTTGAGCTGGGCAAGAGCAAAGTCAAGTATATCTTTGCAGACTCGAGCGGCAACACCGCGTCCTGTTTCTTCTTCGTGATTATCACGAGAGGTACAGATGTGTTACTCAGGCTAGTGCTCGGAATTCACTGTCGCGCTCACATCAACTTCTTCATCATCGCTCTCTCACCCCCACAAATGAGCGAGTCATTGCTGTGATGAAAAGGTTTCGGTATTGACATGTCAACGGTGGGGGGAACATGTAACAGTCATTGCCAACCTCAATCCCCACCCCTCTGCCTGATGCTTCATATTATTCCCCTTTGCTTAGCTCCAGCAAGGGATTTCCAAGCTCTATCCATTGCTTAAAAAAAATTCAAGGTTTGGATCGAGTGTTAGTTTAATACTCATTGATATTGGACTCAGAAGACAATTAAACTCAAAATGAGTTGTTTATCAAAGGCATTTTTTTAATTGACACCCATGACTGAGTACCGTTCTTTCATATTCTTGCACTTGTGCCATCCAACCCATGCATTTATGGCAGAAGACTGCTTGATTTCTTCTGCGTGATGTTGCGTCAGACTCTCTTATCCATTGCTAGCTAACATCTTCGGTACTCTGTCCAATCCCTCCCCAGCTAGTCCGATTCACGTTTCCAGCAGGATTTGTTTGTTCCTGTCAGACATGACATTTTATTGGTTGACTGCAAATGGTGCAGCTGAACTTTGAATAAACTCAACCTGTTGAGCCTCATTGGTTTGGAATGGGAAAGTTTATACAGAGAATAACTCCAACAGACACATGGGAAAAAAATTTGCGAACAGTTCATGAGTCATGAGGATTTTGATCGTCCTTTTCATCTCGGTGGTGAATTGTTCCCTACTCATGGTACAGAAATGCAACATGCAGTGCAAGTTTTGGGGCCCTGGTCCCTCAGAAAAAAAAACTAATCAGGCTTTTTGGCCTCGAGGGATTGTCACCTGCAGCCAACAATCTGAGTGAGTTTGTTAAAAGGTTGCAGCCGGCTGATCTCTGGAATTGTCCAGACATCAGACCCCTAATCCACAAGAATTTCTGGGAATGTGAATAGAACTTCAACTCCCCTCCCACCCCTGACAAAAGTTAACATCCAACATGCTGATTGCATTCTGGGCTTTTTAAAAATAAGATTAAGCACCGTGTCACAGAATACTTCTTTTGAAATGGATAGGCAGAGGGGGGGTGCTGCCGATTTTGAATTACTAATGGGCCAGGTGACTGTAATACTCCACAAGGTGTGAAGGTGAAATTCGTTAACATCAGTGCTCCAGCGTTTTTGTGCGAACTCAAACAACCTGCACTGGAATGAAATTGATGAAGGTGGTGCTTTTGCAGCACAGATGCTTTGTTTGCCACTCAGACAGGGAGGTCTGCTGCTCAGCTTCAGGGTGAAAAGATGTTTTCCCTGTTTCCCATTACATTTCAGGTGCTAACTATCAAATATTGCTTGCCAAACTTCCATGCCAGGCAAACCTCATCTGTGAACCAGTCACGTACTGGCAGCATGCAATCACATGACATCGGGGCTGGTAACATGATTTTACTAAGCATGATATTTTCTGCGCTTAGGGGGCTACCCCCTTTTTTTCTGCTTAGCACGCAGCCCTGGGCATTCCATTCATGTTTATATCTCATCTTTCCATTTGAAGGTGAACTTGCATTGGAGCAACTTGCAAGCTATTCTAACCTTGTACTTTTTGAGTAGGCCTGGCAAGTTTCTTCAGCACCTTGAAATCAGTCGGTTGAGTCTGCTATAAATTGGATGATGTGTGATGCGTTGTAAATCTCTGGCAAGCAAACAGGTCCATGGCTTGTTTTAAAATGGTTCTCAAGAGAAAACTGGGACAGAGACCCGCCAACAAAACAAAAAGGCTCCCAGGAAATATTATGCTCTGTGCATGCTCAAAGCTTGGGCCCATGGATTTCCCATACCGTCTCGTCAAAACAGGCCACTGGAAATAACCGCAGAAGCACAAAGGCGTGAGTGTGTCTGATTTTGTATTTGTGACGGACTTGTTTTGTTTTTTTATTTTTACAATAAACCTTTGCAGGCCGTGTGCTGTGTGCTGCACATAAAAGACGTTGTCAGAGGAAGTTATTGGCTAGACAATGTTTTGATAGCTCTAAGATCCAGTCAATGACTTCCTTCAAAGTTTTCCCCTTCCTCGATTAAAAAAAGGTGGTTTCCTTTATACATGCATGTCCTGGAATTAAGCCGTGCTTCTGTAATACATTTGAATATGCCAATAAATTGAACATGGTTTCATAACTAGTTGTATCTATTTGATGTCATTGCCATTGGAAGATATATGAGAACGTGTTGTGCAAAGCCTTACCCATGTAATTTGCTGTTTTCCCCTGTTATTACTGTAGTATGCATTTTTATTCATTCAAAGGGCTGTGAAACTGTGGGCAATAGTGATTTACTCTTTGCAGAAAAATGAAATCTGGATTTGAGCTGTTGTAAATTTGTAACTTGTTTTTTCACCTTGTACTGATTTTCACCTATTCTGGTGACTGCAACTGTAATATTTACAGGTTTCTGCTCACAAAAGTCTACTTTATCCAGGCCTTCATTCCATCCACTAATTAGCCCTAACCCCCATGATGTATATAAAATCATATTGAAATCGAAGGATTTATGACTGTTAAGGTTACTTATGTCTAAACCCTTTTTTTAATGGGAATTTGGTCTAGAACCTTGCCCCATGGTGTATGTAAAATCATATTGAAATCGAAGGATTTATGACTGTTAGGGTTACTAATGTCTAAACCCTTTTTTATGGGCATTTGGTCTAGAACCTTGCCTTCTTGAAAGGGACAACTAATCTCTGGAATCCACATTGCAGTACTCTGACATTTCTGTTTGTGTTGTGCACTCCCCCTTGACCTACTTTCTTAAATCTTTTGAATCAAACAAATTGACTCGGCGTAAGCTTGACCCTCCTTTGATAGGTAGGTCTGTGGTGGTGGGAGGAATTCCCAGCAGCCAGTGGCTGTGTGTACACTTCACAGCTATTGGTAGCAAATCAAGCGTGTAATAACACCGTCCAAATCCACCCAAACACGCTGCTGTGAACTGGGCCTCTTCAGAACCACCGCCTTGCTTCTAACCCACCTTAAAGGGGCATGCAAACCCAGTCAATGACTTGAATTTACTCAACAAACGGCTCTTTTTGGTGGGTCTCGGCCATGCTGCACTGTGTGTCTCCAGAAACTCTTGCATTGAAAACCTTTATCAGCTTTTTGCTTTTCACAAAAAAGTCACTCAGCTTTCAAATGACCTTGTTCGAATGATTCGGTGATTTCAACTTCAGTCACACAGAAGTTATTTCCATAAAAGCCTGTGATGTCTCCAGCTTTCACATCAAAAATTCACTCCAGCTCACATGTTTCTGATACCACATTTCCTGGTAACTGACATCGCCAAAGCAGCTTGGATTCCTGGTACAAAGGAACATGATGTGCTCCATCCATTCAACTTTTAGTTCAACCAAAATATTCTTGTTTTTGTTGTCCCAACCATTCTCTAGAGGATTAGCTTAGCAGATCAGAAGTCATCTAGATCATTAGCAGGAATGATCTAGATGAGTAAAACAATTGCGGTTGCATCAATCTCTTTCTTGAGTATTTGTGGTTCTGAGAAGAACCGAGGAATAACTCTCAGAACCACACATGCTTAAGAAAGAGATTGGTACATGGTGCAACCGTAATCGTTTTACTCATCTAGTTTCTTTCACCATGAAAGCCTTCAGGTCTTATCTTGAATGATCTACTTGGATACAATGAAACTGCTCAGGGATGTAAGTAGAAGTGGACTAAAAGACCCAGCAGTAACGAGTATTTGTTTTGGTTCCCTACTGAAGCTGTCACCCCTTCTCCGCTCCCTACAACAACGACCACCGAGGGCCCTCAACGTTGCTTGCCAACTCAGGCAACCTGTCAAAACGGCGAGTGCATACCGCTCCAGTACCGTTGTGATGGAGCTCTGGATTGTAGTGATGGCTCTGATGAACAAAGCTGTCGTGAGTAACAGTGTTCCCCCTCCCTCCAAATCATCCATTGATCAGGACATTCAAGGCACATTTGTCATGCCTAAAGCACCAAGGGGCATAGATTAACTATCAAGTAGGTGTGTCTGGTCTCCACCCTCATCCTGAAGAACCCTTCCAAACCAGCTGCATGATTTTAAAGTTTTATACAGGATCAAAGGCATTCCACTTGTTGACCAACTTCAGTTAACTCATTTTACCTGCCGTCAGGGCGCAAGTGAGAGATTCTTAGCTAGTTCACTCCTTTGCGTGGTGGTTTCCTTAGCTATTCTTTTCAGCATTTGTGGCTTTTGAATATTGGCCTTTTCTTTTCCAGCTTCGGTTGGTTGCGAGCCTAACGAGTACCGGTGTGCCAGCGGTTTCTGCATCCAGAAGATCTGGGTCTGTGACGGTGATTTTGATTGTGAAGATGGAAGTGAAGAACTGAATTGCCGTGAGTAGTCTTTTTTCCACACTTACATTTATAGACTTAGATCTCATCCAAATTGACAGTTGTTGACACACTGATGAAGTACAGATCTGTTGTTTGCTCATTGTTATCTTATTTCCATAGTTTGGATGATGACACTTGTCGTGCAGTGAATTTCTCTTTCATGCAAGGTGAAAGGACTCCTATGTGGTTAGCAGGTAGTAGCAACATAGTAGATCTGCTAATATAGTAGCCTCATATATGGTTGCTGTATTTACTGTATTTCTCTTGATCTGTGCTGATGAAGTAGGCAAAGGTTCTCAACATAAGTCATGGGCGCAGCATTGGCATTAGTTTTGGCTCAGATGAAATCCACCAAATACTTCTTTCTGGAACTTACTTGCCGGCACTGTGTTGTGCCTTGCTATTAGCAATCAAGGCCTGTCAAGTGAAAGCTAATGTACAGTTTTCCTCCCACTGGTTCCTCAACAGCCGTGGCCCCGCCTGGTGCCCCATGTTCCTCCACCGAGTTCCAGTGTTTGAACACGGTCACCACGCAGTGCATCCCCAAGGCATACCAGTGCGACAACGACTTTGACTGCGAGGACCGTTCAGACGAGATCGCATGCTGTAAGTGACAATACTTTGGATTGTGCATGAAGGTCTCGTCCTAGTTTCTTGGACGCAGCTTAAATTTACACATGACTCTATGGGCATACATGCATGTGAGTTCAGGCCCTAGCCACATAGTCTGGCACCACCTTCATTTATCAGATTGCACTGAGTATGATAAATTCAGGGAACACAAATATGGTTTACCGTGGAATAAGGTCTTTTTCTCAGTTACTACCTAATACTGTAGGTTTTTACAATAAAATTGAAATGGGGGCTTTTATGCTCAATTCTTGTACCAAATTCTGTTTCCTCATCCCTTTGCTGACCTCTTCATGATGGAGAGCTGAAAAATACTTTGCCTCTTCACCCAAAAGAGATAAAAGCATTTAATAAATCTCAGGTGTTTTTAGTTATATAGGTGTATGTATTTAAACACAGGTAAATAATGGAAACAATATTGCACAGGTTCTGTGCTTATTCAGTCTGAAATCAGTCACAAATTCGTACTCTTTACCTTTCCAACGTGAGCTTTGAGAAAATGCCTCACTCTCCTTTGTAGGCTGCAGTAAACAGGTGTTATAGTAGCCTTGTTCTCAAGGCTGATGCACTCTGTGACTCTAGCATATCGTGACTTGTCATCATTGTCATTCCAGCCCCACCCCAGGTGACACAGTCTCCTTTCACGCCCATGACCGTCACAGAGGGTGCAACGGTCGTCCTGACCTGCATCGCACTCGGCAACCCGGTTCCCATCATCTCCTGGCGGTTCAACTGGGGTCCGCTTCCAGATCCGTCAAAGGTAAAATCGATGCTTACAACAAGCATCCCCAGAAACTGAATAAAATTTTCCTTCACCAAGCAGAATCTGTTTGATATGAAAATGCTGTTTTGAATCTGCAGGTTGTGGTGGTGAGTGAGAACGGCCGAGGCACGTTGACCATTTACAACGTCCAAGAGAGTGACCAGGGAGCGTACACCTGTGAGGCCATGAACAGCATCGGCTACCTCTTCGCCATCCCGGACGCCATCTTGATTATCATTCGTAAGTTTTCCCTCCTCTACTCTTTGTCCCGCTTGTGGATTTCTGTGGCCAATTAAAGGAGATTTGGAGCTCTCGTGGCTCTTTGGTGGCAATCTTGTGGAGCAGTAGCTGAATTCACGCTGCTAAGCACAAACATCTGTGTTGTGGATGGATCAGCAGGTGTTGTTTTGGTCTGCTGACTGTTTGTTGGATCCACAGCCATCTTGTGGATTTCCTGGTGTGTGAATCAGTGGTCATTTTGTGGATCCACAGGGGGTGTGTGTGGATGTGCAGTAATTTGATTGACTTTCAGCTACTTTGTTGGCAGAGTTATCTCTTCGATCCACAACTTTCTTTTATGAATTACAATTTTGTGATCTATTTTGCTGGCCAACAGTCATCATATGGATGTAAGAATTACGATGCGTGCTGTGAATTAATAGTCAACTCAATAATAAATTCTGTTTTCTCTGTGCTTTTTATAAATATTTAGTCTAGGTAATGGATATTCATGTTGCTCTTTTCCATACAGCCCCTGAGGGCATCTGCACAGGGTCAGTCTTCAACAAGGCTGCTGAAGTTCCAGACGAATGTATTGACTGCTTCTGCTTTGACATCACGGACAGGTGCACAGGAAGCAGCTACTATCGCACCCAGGTTAGTCAGTTTGCATAAATGAATAAATTCCAAGTCGTCGTCTTGGAGCCCTCATGAATTATTCAAAAGTAATGAAATGGGAGGGGTAACAAAAATGTTGGTGTTTGATTACCCAGACGTCCTTGGTCTTCAGCAACAATGATCCCCGGGGCATCCTGATTGGTTCTCGCTCGCGCGTAGATGGTTCAATCACCACAGTGGACGAAAGTTTCATCCAGGTGAATCCCAGCACGGAGGAGGTGACCGTACTGGAGCTGAACCGCCGACTACCGGCTGGAGACTACTACTGGGTGCTGCCTGGCCAACTTCTCGGCAACAAAGTGAGTTGGTCGTGTTTCTCTTTCAAACTCCCTTTATGTTGTGGTCTTTGCTTATCATCTGTAACTTCAATCTCGGCATTATTTAAAGCACAATACATCGTGCAGTCATAAAGACCGTTTCAGCACCATTGCTCTCTGAAATTTGCTGAAAATATTTGCTCAGCAAAACAGTCCACTGGCCAAAAATTCATGCTAAGTATACTGCAGGTGACCTGTGTCCCGTAGATTTTTGCTTGATACATAAATTTTCTAAGCCCTACAGCACTCTGGGTTTTTGTGCTCATTCATATAAAAATTCAGTGCCCCGATTTGCACACTTTTCATGCACACCGACCAGCCCCTTCCCCGACTTAGCTCTTGCAAATAGGTGGCACAGTACCAAAGGAGCTCACGGAGCAGCTTGAAACCAGCATTTGTAAGGAATAAACAGCAGTCCCTCAGCTCGTTTCAGAAGCGTTAACAAAGTGAATCTTTAAATTATCTCTCTGCAAAGACCATTTCATAATACATAAATTGCTATTGTAGAGTTTTGATGTCAGGTATTTATGACTGCAATAAATCTGACACAGCCGATGTTGTTTGGGCCTGTTTTTTAAGTTAAATTTTGTCACTCGTGGAATTTTGAAAACAAAGTCTCACTAAATGGATCGAAGCATACATACAAGGTGGAACTGGCTGTAAATCTCCTCGCCTCCGCTCTATTTCAGCTGACCAGCTATGGTGGCAACTTCCAGTATCGTATCCGCTTCACTGTTGACACCGGCGGCGTGCCGATAGCCGCTGACCTCACGCCGGACATCATCCTGGAAGGAAACGGTATCCAGCTGGCCTACGTCGTGGGCCGGAGCATGGAGGAGTCACGCTTCAATGAAGTCAGCGTGCAGCTGGTTGAGGTGAGCCACTGCCACACAGACATATAGACCCATAGACAGACAGCTACTATTCAAATCAATGGCGAGTACTGTAGCCGAGACAGCACCCAACTAAATCCAAAAGTGTGGGCAAATTTACCCACGTATTTAGCCATAAACTTCTATGAAACAGACCCGCCAACTAGTACGATTTAGTCGTATTTCCTATTGGAAATTTTTGAAAATACGATCGTACATTTTCTCCCCCATAAAATGTGGGTTTTGACGATTGAAATTGTAGTTCAACGGTTGCGAGTGCACGTTATGTTAAAAATACACAGCCTTGAACATTTGCACATGTACATGTACAATGTACATGTACGTGCGTACAGGGTATGAACGCATGTGTACAAACCTCGGGTGTAAACAGCATCCGGCAACCACCTGACATTATATTGTGATTGGCTTCCTACAAAATATAATATTCATGTTGCATTAGTGGGACTCTTTGAAGCCACTTGTACATCAGTAGAAGTTGTGACAAACAATCTCCAGTATTTTATGTAGCGCACGTTTTACGGCCACCATGAATTTGCGGCCTGAAATAAGTTTACTAATTTTGCTGCTTTCTTTGTGATAGAGAGCCTCGTGGCAACTGGTGTGGGGCAAAGGAAATTATGTCGTACATTATTGCACAGCTTTTACAGGTTCTGTGCGCGTCGTTTTTAAGAGATTTCACAACAAGTTTTGCACATAGACCCATCAACATGTCAGAGCAACACCTGTAAAAGGGTCTGATTTGGATGCAATCTTTGACAAGACCGATCCTCATGTTAAAAATCTGCAGAAATAGAAAAAAGAATGGAGACATTTTACAGCCAGCCAGCGAGCAGGTGAAAAAAATCGATTTTGAAAAAAATATCCTCTGTTTACTTAATCTGGCCCATGCAGATTCGAAACAATGCGGTTGCAACATTTGAAAAGAAGAGATAGCAGTACCAAAGAATAAAAAAGGAAACATATTTTTAAAGCACATGTAAACAAATACATGCATTCCCAGTGCGTCACGTGCAATTCGCACTGAATGCACTGCCATCTACTTATTGCTTACCCACGCTTTTTAAAATCGCGGTTATAGGCGCAAGACCGGTGATCTTTACGTGTATATGTTTGTGCTCTGCGACCATTTTTGAAATTAATCCCTTCCCCCCACTTCCCTTTCCTCTCCGTCCATTGAAAAACTGAAGTTGGTCTGTTGACCCCATGTGGGTCCAAACTTAGTCAAGGGACCTTGGATTTGCTCTGATGCAATTCACCTCTCTTCATTATTTCCCCTTTAATCTAGCAGAGTCAATAGCTGGCTGACTCTTATAGAGTATCAAGGTGTGACATCATTTAGAACCAGGAAATGGAGTACATGCGCGTGTTGGTTCACACGATGGTTCGCGCACTAATGCCTTATACACACGTGTGCATGACATGTTCACGTCGGTACTCTGTAGCTCTTCTACAGCATGTGATCTGTCTCCATACCCAGAACAAATAAAAAGAAAAGTCCATTAGCTCTCCTTTCAGGGGTGACGTTTGACAACTACTGTTGTCTCCACAGGATGGCTGGATGAGGGTGGTGGGTGACCAGCAGACGCAGGCTACCAGGGAAGACCTCATGATGGTCCTACAGGATGTGGACACCTTTGTCATCAGGGCCTCTTACAACACCAACCTCAGAGACACGAGGTGAGTATCCCCTGCCGGATTGAAAGTCTCAACTTGCATGATTAATGGGTTTTTTTCAAAAATCGATTTCGTTATGCATCACAAGTTTGCCTCTGTTATTTCTCCCGGGCATGAGTCAGCTGTACATGTGACCCACTGGAAAAAGAAATCAAGACAAATCGGGTGACCAGTTTTGACGTGGTAATAAAGTTCACCTTGTCGTCAGCGTCTGTAGTTGGAGACTGACAGCCAGCCTGCTCGGTCTCATAAACTTTTGGACTTGTTCGGGCATGCCCATGGTACTGCACACACATACACATTTAAAATTTTCGCTGAAGTGCAAAAATGGAAATTCATTGCTCCAACAATTTGATTTTTTTTATATTTCTGGAATTGAAGCAAAGTTTAATGGGATTTACATTTAACTTATAACCAATAATGACATCTTAGAAGAGGTTTATAGGTACAGGAAATCACTACAGAGGCTCTCCGGTGAGTTTGTGAAGTCATGCCGACAATTTTTGGAGTAGTGGGGACCCACAATTTTGCTTAACAAATAAAGATTTTGTTTAGCAGCAATTGATCATTGGCCAAATTGTTCCGTCATCTTTGGCACCTGTGACAGGTATCTGGCAACTGTTTCATATCCTGCTTGGTCTGTCAAGGTGGGCTTCTGAAATAATTACTGCAGCCTAAGTTGACCAAATTTGTGACCAAAAACTGAAGTGTGTTCACGGAATGATCAAGGGTTTCCGTTTTGCCCTAGGCACCAGTTTTCCGTAGGCCTGGGGCATCAGTGATTGATATTTACTTCTGTGTCTAAGGTACTTTGTGCTTGAGCCTAGCATTTCATGTCGCTGCTTAGCTGGAGTAAACTGTGAATGAGGAAGCTGTGAATAAGCTGGTTTGAAGCTTTTACAAAAAAACTTATCTGTTTTGCGTGAAAGTGTTGGGTGTTTGCCTTTTCATAGCATACCTGTGGTAGTTTTGCAGGCCCTCCAACGTTTTTTAGACCCTAGGCACAGTGCCTATTGGATAATCTGACCTCAAGCGTTCTAACTTTGGTTTTTCTGTTTTCTCGGACCTTCCCAGTCTCTCCAATGTTTACTTGGACGAGGCCCAGCCAGAGAACAATGGCGGTGAAGAGGCCTTCATGGTGGAGAAATGCGAATGCCCACCGGGATATGCTGGCCAGTCCTGCGAGGTAGGTTGCAAACAGTGTGTCCATTTGTGGTTCAGTTTGAATTATATTGAGGTATTCCTTAAAGGCAAGGTTATTTGAGAATGAAGCACCCAACATTACGCCTGTGTGAGGACTGATAAGGTTAACTTTGCGTGTGTGCATTGATGTCATGGAAGGCCTGCGACAGGCTTCATTTTTGAGTAGGTGCAGTTGGAACATCAGATGTATTCTTCAGGAGCACACAGGCAAGTGCAAGTGACAAGTATTGCGAAAATGATTTTTAGAGGGTTTAAGCGGAACATTGAGAATGGGAGCACAGGATGGCGTGATGAAGGACAAAGCAAATTTGTGTCCCTACATGTCTGCGAGAGCAGGCACTAGGCCAGAATTCTGTCGGAAACATCGGCTCATTTTTCTCTTGTTTCTGTGCCTTTTGGAAAGGAAAGTCAGATGGTTGTCACAGGAAATTGCAAAATGGCAGAACATGTGATGATTAACTGGCTAATCCGGTGATGATAGACAACCTCAAGTTGCTGTGCGACTGCCAGATTGGGCCATCAGTCTAAATTTCACATGATCTGTCTGTAAACTTTGAAAAGGATGCACACCTGGTTGTCAGAGCTAGTTACAACATGGAAGAAAGGATGGAAGGGAAAAAGATCTGATAAGATACATTCTAGAGTAACACAAACTAAGGTTTATAAAACCAGAACAGGTTCAGTTAATCCCAAACATCAACACAGTTTTAATGTCATCCATTTTTATGGCTTAGCCTTTATGGGTCTATAAAGTTATGGGGGGGGGCTCATTTTGGCACCACTTTAAAAAAATGAACTCGCCAGTTCTCTCATAAAGAGTTCAACTTTTGATGCAGGGTGCATAGAGTCCTTCAATTTTCATCGATCAGCACATTGGGAAAGCTACTGACTCATGGAATGATGGTGTTAGTTCATTGGAGCTGTAACAATTCATGGAGGTCTCTATGCATGTACCAGATTAAAATACAGATTACAGCTGAGATGGAGGGGGGAGGTGAAGTGCCCCTCCCCCTTTACTAGTATTGCCATGTGGGGGACATTTTAAAAGATTGTGCAATGTCTGTACAAGGTCCAATCTCCAAAGTAGCTGTGGCACCTTTGACTCATATTGTCCATGTGGGTGGCAACAGGCCTCAGCGCCCTTGGGCGTATGCACCTTCGTAGATGGAGATCAGAGAATTGGAGATACCCATTCTTGTGAGTGTACACCACCTGCTGCTATAAATGAGCCGTGGCCATCACTCCCGCCCGGGGGTTATTCAGCATTAATCTGCTCCTAGGATGGAAGGTCGGCAAGTTACTGGGTGCCCTGGGCACAAAGGAGGGGGATCCTCAAACCTAGGTCTGCCCCGAGAAAGCCATGAACCCAGCACTGTACTTTGTGAACGAAGTGGATTGAGCTTTGTCTTTGAGGGTTCTAACAATTCTTGATGATATTCTCAAAACGTTTTGCCTAAAAATTTTATACACTGCCAGGACTTGCCCCCCTCTGAATTAAAGTCCCGAGTCTGTCATAATGTTGCAAACCCAGTTGATAAATTTCAGCTGATTCGTCATGGGGCTTTATAGAGCACCTCTAAGGAAGACATGATTTCTCGGGTTTTATCTGTTCAAATAAATACGGAAGCATTGAAAAAAACAAGGGGAGTCCTCGCTCTGTGTTCGTAGTGGATAAACCCTGTGCATACCAAATAATGCATGTAGCCATTGTTTGGCATGCACAAGGGTTTATCTGCTACGAACACAGGGTGAGGGTTCCCCTCGTTTTCGCAGAACGACGCAATCTACATTCAGAATTCGCATCTTGGCACGAACAGAAAAAAACCCTTTTAAACTTGTAATAGTTGAGCCATGCAGACAATGACACTGCATTCAGTTTGGATGCTTCCATATTTATTTGAACAAATATAATCGGAGAAAACATGTTTTCCTTAGAGGTGCTCTTTAAGTGCAGACTCTCTGCCCTTATTTGCAACCTGGGATGAGATTTTGGAGGATTATTGAAGCTCCCTGACAAACAACTTCCCCGAGAGTTTTACAAATAGACAGCCTCCTATAATTTTAGTACAAAGTTTATCCATATTTTTCTGTGAGACGAGAAAAAGATAAGCCATGTCTGGATTCCTGTGTTCTCACTTGTTTTTCTAATCTGTTGGCCGTGGTCAGATTTCAGCTCGAGAGTGTCACCATTTTGAGGTTGTTAGTCTTGTTTTTTAGGGTCCCAGTACTAAATGTTAGCTGTTTTTTTATCAGGACCAAAATTTTCTCCAATCTGGCCGCTCTGTTTCCCAGGAATGTGCCTCTGGCTATTACCGTGTCCGCAACAACCGCTACCTTGGGACGTGCGAGCCCTGTGAATGTAACCGCTATTCATACCAGTGTGATCCGGAGACAGGTGTCTGTATCAACTGTCGGGCCAATACAGCCGGGGACCAGTGCGACCAGTGTGCCGAGGGTTACTATGGTGACCCCCTGTCGTCCATACCCTGCCTGCCCTGCCCTTGCCCACTGACAGTCGACCCCAACCAGTGAGTGTGCAAGTCTGTTGTCATTTGCACTGGTTCAGAAATGAGAATGGCACAGGGCGCATGTGACCAATGTTAAACTTGATGTGCTCAAACCCAAATGCCTTTGTTTATCATAAATGCATCTTATCTTGACAGAGACAGAGTTGTTTTACTTTTCACAGCTGAGAGCATTGATTCCTGTAGTTTTGAAGTCCATGTCCAAATCAATTGGCTGTGGCTTTGAACACTATACATCTAGGGACGCAGCAGAAGCCACTTATGAATGGCTTTCCTTAGGAGTATTTGTTGTGTATAACTTTCAGATGTAGCTTTTAAAGTCTCTTCTGAAGCCAACTTTCTAACCCACTCAAAATATTTCTAATTCCTTTTTTCATGTTTGGTACACCTTTATCAAAATGCGAATTCAAAGGTCAGACTTTTGAGGTCAAAAACCAAAGGTAAATTGTTTTTCCTCATCAGGTTCTCGCCTACGTGTTACCTGGACAGCGACGGCTTGGTCACCTGCGACAACTGTCCGCCGGGCTACGATGGGCGCCAGTGCGAGACCTGCTCACCGCAGTACGTGGGCGAGCCACAGAACTTGGGCAGCTCCTGCGTGCCGGAGGGCAAGGAATGTAACTCAGCGGGCACGGTGGAGCTGATCGGACCCGAGTGTGCCTGCAAAGTGAGTGGGAAACGATCGCGGGCCATTAGCACAAAGAGATTTGTTTTCTTGCATATTTCACCTTTGAGGAAATGGTGTTTTAAAAATTGTCAGACGGTCCACTGGCCATGACTTCAAACAGCGTTATCTATAACACAATCCTTCTCAAGAGTTTCAGTTGGCGTCTGTCAACATGTTTGCTTTGCCCACTAAACATCCGTCAAATCTAAATCCATTCATACGATGCAATGCATTTCAAGTGGAGTATTGTTTCTGTACGTAAATGCATTGTTGATTGGCATCCTTCAGTCACGAATACAGTTTTTATTTTATCCACCAAACATCCACTGATCATCCACCAATCTCAACGTACAACAGTGATATCAACAACTAAGGTGGGATAGTATGCACTGAAAGGTCCACACTTTATCAGCCAAAACCAAACTTCAGTATTTTTGCAGGTGGATTCCTATACATATGCAAATACCCACCGAGCATCCACAAAGATTTTTTTCATGTTCGCACTGTTCAGGACAATGTGCGTGGAGAGGAATGCGATCGTTGCCAGCCGTACACCTTCTACCTCAACGGCGACACTCCAGATGGCTGCATTTCATGCTTCTGCATGGGGGTAACTCGTGACTGCTCCAGTACCACACAGTACAGATCACAGGTAAGACGTAAAGAGGGCTTGCGGCAACACCGTGGGGATAGATCTCTTTTGGAAGAGGTATGGTTCTGATAAGAGCCGTTGAGTGTGTACTTGATGTTTCGATCAGTGTGCTCTGGCCGTCCTCAGGGGTGGACTCCTGAGGACGACCAGAGCACACTGGTTGAAACCAAGCTAAGGATGACCAGAGCACACTGGTTGAAACCATGCTAAGGATGATCAGAGCACACTGGATTTCCCCAACTCAAGCTTGCTCCTCTTGTTTTCGGCTGCTTTCTGGGCAGGTTTCAGCCGTCTTCACCCAGAACGCCCAGGGCTTCATCCTGTCCGACAGCCTAGGCACAGCCGTCATCGAGCAGGGGCTGTCTGCCAACCCGGCATCCAGGGAGCTCTCCTTCAGCAACTTCAGGCCGTTTGGGTCGCAGACGTTTTACTGGAACCTCCCAAGCCAGTTTACCGGCAACAAGGTGAGTGGGCAGGGAACTTGAGGTTTGTCTTACTTGTTAAGGAGCAGAAATTTCTTTGTCTTCTCTTTCCTGATTACGGCGTTTCTTTTCTTGTGCCAAAAATACACCGAGTTCCATATTTTTCCATTTGTAAAACCCTCGTAACGTCAAGAAACAGAAAGTGCAAGCTGTGTTGTGAAATATCCAAATGAATGTGGGCAAAATGGGTGCAGTCGTGCTTTGAAGCGGCTCAGATTCTGAAAGGGTAAAGCTTTGGATCTTGTCAAATCCTTGAGTATGCCCAAAGTTGTCAAATACTGAGCATTTCAACACCCACAATAAAGTTGAGAATATCTGTCTCCATCTAGGTGTCCTCCTATGGTGGCAATCTTCGCTACACCGTCCTCTTCCAACATGGCGCCGGAGCCACATTCTCCAACAACGAGCCAGACATCCTCCTCATTGTGAGTCAGAAGCAAGTGATAAAAATGAAGGGTTCATGATTACATTCAAGGATTTTCACAACATTATTATTATCGTCATTATTTTAATATCTGGGAATGACACCAAGGATTCCTCAACTGAGTACCCTTGGCGCGGGGTAGCTTACAAGCCTGAAGAAACCTGTAGATAAGAGACAGTGAGGAGCAGTTCAACTTTTAAGAAGTGAGAGAAAAATCCCAACGGAATATTCTGGATAAACCCAAGGGATCAAGTAGGGACTGAAAACCCAATCCACATGCAGACCATGTGAACCAGGGACCACGGAGGTGGAAGGCCAGGAAAGAACCACTACACCAATCTGGACCCCCCCCCGGAGTCACACAAAAATGTGATCAGTTTGTGTGAAAAGCAGCTCTGTTAATCTTTAAGGGAACACAAGTTACAAGTATTTAATTGATTATTTTTGGTGATAAACAAGTTGATGATTTATAGGCATTTCTCACCTTTTGCCTATCTTCAACAAAGTAACTGGATTTTAGGCTGTTCAGGATTGTCCTTTTGCAGATGGCAGCACATTTGTTGGTTTCAAATTCTATGCTTGTTTTGTGTCATGCACAGGGAAACGGAATCACGGCGAAGATTGTCCACCCAGACAGGCCAACGTCCAATAGCTACAAGACCTACTCTGTTCCGCTGATCGAGGTATGAAGGCATAAAGGTGTATTTGTACTCAGTAAATTGTGTTTCAAGTGCTTTTTTTTTTTTTCAAGAAATGAAAGGCAGGTGTGTATTGGTTGAGACATCTCAGGTGTAGTACTTTGAAAAGTTTTTGACGTAATGGATGGTGCACGAGAATAGTATGTGTGTAATAATACCTTTTGTATGATGTTTTGACCTTTTTGAGGGTTTGCTTTCAAGGTTAAACAATTTGGAATTGGTTTCATAAAGGTTCAGAAGGTCTAAATCCCCAAATATGGCAAAAGGTGTGAAACACTGCATTGGTATTGTATTGGAGGGTACTTCAAAATCCCAGGAGCAACACGTATTTCAAATTTGGTCACGCCAAACTGAGATACCAATATGATGCCTCGCCTGATTGGTGGATATCTTTGCAGACGTACTGGAGGCGACTGGATGACCAGCCAATCCAGAGGGAGTTTCTGATGATGCTGCTGGCAGACTTGGACTTGATTTTAATTAGAGCGACGTACAGCTCTCCCACAACCTATGCCGTGTAAGCGATAATTCATATTGTATGAAAAACAAACCCAGCAATTGGGTAACAAGACATTTTCCAAATTCACATTTTGCAAACTTATTACACTTTGAAGGTTTTGTGTTGTGAAATTTTTAAACCTGTTGAAAAAGAAAAAGTGAATGTGATATTTGGGAAGGCTTACCCCAATATCTTGACTCTAAAGTAAAGGGATTGTACTTTTCTTTTGCTAAGCATTAAGGACGTCACCTTGGATATTGCGGAACCCAGGAACACTGGGCGTGAGAGGGCTTACGCAGTGGAGCAGTGTATCTGCCCAATCGGCTACACTGGGCTGTCCTGTGAGGTGAGCGTTACATGATTCTCCTTCAAAACGTCATTTACACTCTGTCTCAGAAAGATTTGTAACTAATGTTTATGAAATGTCTGAAAGGTGCAAACCTGTGTGAGAGATTTTCAAGTGGTTGATAAATGATACGAGTCATCTCTCTCTTGTGCCACAGGATTGCGATGTTGGTTTCACCCGCACCGGAGGAGGGCTGTACCTGGGTGTCTGTGGTCCATGCCAGTGCAACGGCCATGCCACTGACTGTGATCCAGAGACTGGTGTCTGCAGGGTGGGTATTGATGCATGTAGTGTTGTCATAAACACTTTCACAGTGCCACGGTAGCAACATCAATATTAAGTTATGTTTCTCGGGTAGCCGCCATGTTGGCCACGTCAGGATAAATTTGTGTTTCGCGGGCATCCCTTCATCGGCCATGCCAGTGTTAATTTATTTTTTTGGTGCACTCGCCATGTTTGCCACGTTAACATCTGTTTCATGTTTCTTGCATAGCATCGTTTGTCAGTTTTGGTTAGACAGACAAGACTGACCTGTTCAATCTTGCCGAAAATTGAAAAGTTACGGAACATTTTTTTACAAAGGCGTTAAAATGTTTGGGTGTATTCATTTTGCTTTTAATGAGGATTTCAAAAGAGGTTGTTCAGTCTCTTCATTCGAGCTCAGTATGCCAGAAAAATTTTGATCATCAGTTCCTTCTTGTAATCATCGACGTAAAAGTATAAAAAGGACTCCTTCTAAGTGACCATAATTTTATTTTGTAGCATTGAGACTTCAAAATAATTAGCAAGCAAGTTTGGATAAAACTGAAATCGGTTTCTTCACAGATGAACTTTTTAAATGTTTCCAGTTTTCAACTGTTGATATCAACTTTTGACTTTATTTTTCACATGCTCGACTGCCGCAGGATATCAGGTAAAACATTGTGAAAAACATTGACGACGAACAGTTTGTTCACTTCATTATTTCCTTGCTTTCGGTGTTGATTCGTGTTATCCACATGCAAACTCCCTCTTTTGTATTTACAAAGGCCCACCCTGAATCCCATCAATCCAACACTCTACTCGAAAAATAGGAGCATGTTCTCTCTATTCCATCCCCCGAAGAACCACCAACACAGGGCTGGATAGCTCAGTTGGTAGAGCACCGGTACGGTATCCCGGAGGTCCCAGGTTCAAATCCCGCTCCAGTCAATTTCTTTGTTCGTCTGCATAATTGCAAGCACCTCGGCGGTTTCCCTATATAGTTTGTTTTAGGATTTCATCACCCAATATCGGTGCCGGGGCCCTACATGCGGTTTTCTGTGTACACTGTCAGCTGTGTGTTTAATGTAGATGCAGGGTTCCCGTGGCCTGGAAAAGTCGTGGAAATTTGTTATCGTTTTCCATGCCGGGAAAAGTCATGGAATTTCATTGTCCTTTCGGTGCCGGAACCCTGTAGATGGGTCGGAGGGTGCTGTACCAGTAAATTGAGTTTGCGAGATCATGTTTCTGTTTGTGTTTTATTGTTATGTTTTGGAAAGTGAAATCTGCATATTACCAATGCCGCTTCCGTCTCCATTGCATATATAAGATTTTTTTTGAATACTCTCCAGGGTCAACTTCCACCAAGGACCATAGTTAACCATAGTTCGACTATCTTTTATCAAACGCACGCTAGTCGACAATGGTTGGACTAGTCTAGTCAACTATTCGTGACCAGCCTGCGGAGGTTGGCCATGTCGTTGGTTGCCATAAGCCATTTTTAATAGGACAGTGCAGAGAAGACCAGTTAAAAGAAAAATGCCAGAAGAACAGTATGTCAGTAGGAAACGACCGTTTCCACTCTAATTTTTGCTATTTTGCCCTTCCTGTGGCAATGTTTTCTCCCCTTTGGTCTAAGAACCCAACAACGGTTGACTTGGGTCATTTGCACTTCAACTTCACTGCACATGGGCTAGGTACGTCACAAATCAACCACTAGTCCACTAGCAGTCCTTGATTGAACTTGCCCTATATATAGGCGGACACATCATCAGCCATTCTCTACTCTCAGCTCAATGTAAAGTTAGAGCAAAGATCGAAATAAACAGTAACCTTCAAGGCTTACTACTTGGACTCAAATGATTAAGGCATCTTTTTTCCTAACTCCTCAAGGCATGCCTACACAATACCTTCGGAGACAGTTGTGACCAGTGTGTGTCTGGTTACTATGGCAACCCACTGACCGGTACCGCGGACGATTGCCAGCCCTGCCCGTGCCCGCTGACAGCCACGCCAAACCAGTGAGTGGTCTCTTGAGCCCATTTTTGGTCAAAAATAACTAACTATAAACTAACTAAATAAATAACCATCCAAGAAACTGAAATGGTTGGTTATAACAAAAATGTATCATTACCATGTGAAGGGACTGACTGGTTCACTGAACGGCCTCCTGTGATTGGTCAGTTTGTTCCCTCTCTCACAGGTTCTCCTCAACCTGTTACCTTGACGTCGATGGTTATGCAACTTGCGACAACTGCCCTGTTGGCTATGCAGGAAGAAACTGTGAAAGGTGAGGGAGAAATAAGGTGATTCCTAATTTTAAAAAGTGTTCTGAATGAAAACGGAACTGGAGCCTTTTGAGCCAAGTACATTCTCACGGAATTCATTTGAACCAAAATCCTAAGGAGCGAAATGAAATTGATTTCATTTCAGAATTTGCCAGATGACACTCTCCTTGTCACCTCTTGCCTCCAACTGATAAACTCGTGAGATCATTTGCACCATTGTTTTGTAGAGATTCTGACTGTTACTTAAAGATAACACTTAGGAGTTTCCTCTTTCCAGATGCGAGCCGCCCTTCTTTGGTGATCCGACCCGCCCCAGTGGTAGCTGCCAGAGACAAGGTCTGTAGTGTCCTCTCAAGCTTGGAAGACAGAAGTTTTTTGTTTCAATTTATTGACATAATTTCCTCTCTACCTTACAAGTATGACAGCTCTTCACCTTTCTGCTTGGATAAAGCAGTTACTTCCCTGCTGTGATGAGCTTGATTTTTTTCTCCTGGAATGAGACATTATCTGTTGACGTCGAATATCTGCAGAGTGACTTTAGACTGTGGTTGGTTGAAAAACACATGGTCACAATAGTCTCTTTTCAGGTAGTTACTTGTGCAACGCCAACCATCAGTGTATATCATCAGAGTTACAATGCCTGGGATGGCCTCCTAACCCTGACTGTTGAAATATGGAAGAAGGCCATTCTGTTCTAGCAAATTGAGGAATATGATTTTTGGGTGGAAAAAACAGTGATGGTAGGACTCTGTAGGGGGTATTTGTTCGGCAGATGTAACTAAAAAGTTGCATCATTTTCAGCTGCGATATGTGAACGGCTGTGTTCTGTATGTGCGTTTGTCTCCAGATTCCTGTCAGTGTGATTCTCGTGGCAGTTCATCTCCAGGCTGTGACGATTCAGGCCAGTGCGACTGCAAGGTAAAAGTCAACTACAACAAGACAAAAATCCCTTGATGTGAAGGGAAAAACTCCTATAGCCACTGTGCATGCACAGGAGAGGGCGCCATTCAAACTTTGGCTTTGTCTCATTCTTCCAATTCTACTCGAGCTCCATAGTCAGCTTGAAAAAGTTACTGTTGCAACCAAATTAGAATTACACTCTAAAATTGGGTGTGGGATTGAGTTGGGGTGTTTCTGGCGCAGAAAATGTAGCTGCATTGAGGTTGAAGGTCTGGACTTCTAAACTCACGGAACAGAAGCCTAAAGGCCAAGATGAAAAAGTGAAAACATATCCATTTTTACTCCTGTCCAATTTTTAACCTGTCCCTCCGTCTTCCCGCAGACCTATGCTGAAGGCACCCTGTGCAACGTCTGCAGGTATGGTTACTTCAACCTTGCCACCAGCAATCCGGACGGTTGCACCAAGTGCTTCTGCATGGGCGTGGCCGACGGATGCACCAGTTCCCGTTACTACCGGCAACAGGTCAGGGTGATAAGTGTCACTTCATATACCTCCACAGACATCTTGAACCTGGCAAAATCCAGTTTTGTGGAGTGAACACATGGCAAAGGCTTTGCACTTGTACACAAAATGTGGACTTTGTGTGAATTGATATCGGTTTCTCGGTCCAGCTCGGAATCTGGATAATTTGGTGGTTCAAATTTAGCTGTGCTTTAGACCGGCAAAAGTTTAAAACCTTTTTTCTTTTGCAAAATATTAAGAAACATTCAGGAAGCCAAGCCAGGGTTGTGTTGATTCTTTACGACAGTGAAACTTGGCCAACAGTTGCAAAATACGGCATACATGCAGTTTAAGCTGACTCAAGTTAACTCTCTTGTCCTTCACAGCTGCGAGTCACGTTCCAGTCTCCCTCTGATCCGCGCAGCATGGTCCTCCGGAACCGTGCCGGAGATTCCCTGTACTCAAGTGGCTTCACCATCAATGTGCCAACCAATGAGATCATTTTCAGCGGATTTGACCAACTGCCGAGTCAGGCCTACTTCTGGAGTCTCCCACCAAAATTCAGAGGCGACCAGGTAGAAAAAACAAAATTAGGCTCTTGGTAACCCTCTGAATCCAACAAGCATATGCGTGATCTCAATGGTCCTTAGGGGGTTAGGGTTAAAGACAGTTGCAGTATGCAGCAGAAGAACCCTTGCAATGGTAGAAAAGAATGGCATTCCAAATGAAGGGTCCAAGATTTGACTAAGTAACAGGAAGTAAATTTTCAGTATAATTGGCTTGGAGTGCTTTTGTTGTTGACCTGTGACCTTCAACCTCTTACCAGGTCACAGCCTATGGTGGCTTCCTACGATACACCATCAGCTACGACGCGGCAGTGGAGGGTCAGCAGTATGGCGAGAGTGATGTGGAAATCTTTGTAAGTGACTGAATAATTTTATTAAACATTCTGTGGTAATAACTAAATATGCAGATCTTGCTTTGGGTTGACATGTCTACTGTGGCCAGGGGCCAATCTGGTACAGCTGCTCAGCTTTTAAAATTTGCCAATTAAGCGCTGAAGAATATTGGTTTAGCAGAGACAAGTTACCAGCCAAAGGTCACGATGTGTATATTGCTTGTAACTGGTGCTCAGCTAATTTTTATAGCGTAGCGCATAAATCCTCAAAGCAGGATTTCCTGCTGATCTGCTGTGTGAAATTGGTGCAGTGTTGCCATGGTAACGACCAGGTTGTTGTGGTCACAGTCAGAAGAATCTTTCTTTACCGATGAACTTCAATTCAGTTTCATCCGAGCTTTCTGGGAAGTTTTCACCTTGCAGTTTCATCTTCCAGTCAAAGTTGTCACCCGTATATCACCCTTCCTGTCTCTCCGTTGCCCTATCTAGGGTAACAACATCAGGCTCATCTACTATGATCGACCTCTTCGACCTGGCGAGACCCGGACCAATGCCATCCAGCTAGTGGAGGTATTTTGCACAATTTTTTAATCGGCCTTTTGCCAAGGGAATTTTAATAAAAAGTGTCAGCATTTGCCATTTTTTTCGTGTTTAGTTGATTCAAAATCTTAGTTTCAGTCAAAGATAACAGTCATGTTTACAGTGTTATATATTTGTATGAATACCTGCCAAACCCCTCATCATATTGAGGCAAGAAGATTGTCCATTTTAATGGCATAATATTTCTTCTGCTGTACAGCTTGTATGATGTGGATGTAATAGGTTTGTCTCTCATCCAGTTTATCTCGGGCAATAACTGACACAAATCCCACTCCAGTGTCAAGTTTGAGGGGTTAATTGGGGTTAATATGGGCATTTCACAGGAGTGCGCCACCAAGAGTTGGCAATGCGTTAGCCAATCACGGTGTGCGAAATTTGTTGACCCAATGCACGTTTGGAAAGGGTCGACAAATTTCGCGCGTTGCGTTGCAACACTCTTGGTGGTGCGCTATTGTGAATCGCCCTTTTTTAGGTGCACCCAACTCAATTTCTTAAAATGAGGTTTTGAGTTTAGCTGTTTGAGTTATGAGCCACATTTTGTCTCTCACCTCAGAGTAACTTCCGACGGCCCGACCAAAATCCAGCGACGAGGGAGTTTCTCCTGATGGCACTGGCTGATGTGGAGTACATCCTCATCCGAGCCACCTTCCATTCCCAGATGTTGAGCACCAGGATACGAGACATCTCCATGGATATCGCCGGTGAGTCAAAGTTTCTCACTGAGCAAATGTAGATGTTCAAAAGAGGGACCATTGACATTTCCTCTGAGGAAAAGGCAACTTCAGAAACAGTGCTTTAAATTTTTTTTTTTGTCGTAGTTCCGGAGAATACTGGCCAGTCCCAAGCTTTATCCGTTGAAGATTGCCAGTGTCCAGAGGGCTACACCGGCTTGTCATGCGAGGTAAGCTGATCGTTGTGCAACAAGTCACAGAGATGACACAGTACGATTCCTCCAAAAAGAGCAGAGGTAGCAAAGGTCACAGATGACAAAAAGCTTGATTCGTCAGAAGTGACAGTAATGACCAAGATGTAAGAAAGCATGTTTTCGGAAAAACAATGGAAGTCTTCAAGGTGAACAAAATATGACTTCTCAGAAATCAAGGAAGTAACCTCTAGAAGTAACAAAAGTCACAAAGGTGACCATTATTTTTAGAAGCAATATGAGTCAAACAGAGAAAACTGTGTACATGTGTAACTTTCAAAAAGTAATGGAAGTCAGATAGATAAGGGTAATTCCAGAAATTAGGGGTCCATTTTTTTCGTGTCCCTGTCACATCTGACATGTGATTTTGTAACTTCAAAACACATTGTTTTACGTGTAATTTCCAAGAGTGATAAATTAATGCAAATTACCTGCCACACAAAGTGTAGTAATAGTTTGAAATCAATTCCAGTGATATTTCCATGTCAAATAACAAAGGTCAGATGTAACAGGGACACAAAAATGTCACACTTTCAGACCCCTAATTTCTGGAATTACCCATAAGCCAAGAGACAATTTCATGGAAGTAATGGAGGTTACAGGGGTAGCACCAAGTATTACTTCTCAAAAGTAACCAGATTAACTGAAATGAAACAAGGAGGGCATAACAGAAGCCAGAGAAATGACACTAAAGGCCAGTTCATACTCACTGCGTATTCACTGTGTACGCAGCCGAGTATGAACCAGCCCTAAGCCAGACTAACCAGTCCCCTGATCAGTGGAGTGAGTCCGTCACCGTTGGTTCAATTTTGATCTTTGAGCTTTGTCGTCATGTTTTTGCAGGACTGTGCTGTAGGTTACTCCCGCGTGGACCAGGGCCTGTACCTCGGCATCTGCGTGCCCTGCCAGTGCAACGGCCACGCCAGTACCTGCAGTCGGGAAACCGGTGTCTGCATAGTGAGTACCAGGCGCCTGCTACATCTCGTGTACCACGCTGGTATTTCACGTGCACCTCGCGCTGACCTCTTAGGAACCTCACAGTCTCCAAAAACTTGATCCTGAATCTCAAATTACCTCGTACATGTCGCATGTGATATTGTGACACTTACTTCCATGTGCCTCGTGCGCAGCAACCTCGCACAGTTGCCTCCCGAATTCATCAGTAGAATCTTTCATGTAATTAATACGTGTATTCACATTTGACATGTACATGTGCATGTGCCACTCGTACATGTTGCGTGTACCTCATTTTACGTGTACTGAACATGTCTATTTTCTGTTGAGCCTCACATGTGTGACTGGAGAATCTATAGCCTGTTCCTTTTTTTCATTCGACAGGATTGCCTGCACAACACTGTCGGAGAAAACTGTGAGCGGTGTGCGGATGGTTACTATGGTGATGCTACCTCCGGCACGCCCGGCGACTGTCGCCCATGCGCTTGCCCGCTCAGTGTCCCATCCAATCAGTAAGAAGATCTCCGAGCCTAATGGGAAGATCAGTTTTGACACTTTATAAGGAAATCTCATTCAAATGAGACTTGCAGGTTTGCATGGTGATTTGCACTAAGTATGGAAAGTTTGCTTTTGATACATGGAAGTCTTGATCAAAGAGAACCGAAGGTTTAGTGTACAACCGAGTTTAAAGTTTAGGCGTGAAGAAATCAAAGTAAAACTGTAGCCAGTTTAGTGCATGTTGCAGTTAAATTCCAACGTCTGTTAGTGTAGGAAATGAGTTTGGTGTGTTTTGCTCTGTAATTTGAATTTGAAAGTTAATTATGATTGATGCTAGAGGATGAAACCTTCACCCAAAATGTAACTTTTTTTGGTTGGTAGGTTTTCTCCTACGTGTATACTGGATACTGACGGCCGGCCGACTTGCAACGCCTGTAGCAGGGAGTACACCGGTCGCGATTGTGGACAGTAAGTCATTGCATCCTTTGAACCTCACCCTTGCAAGTATTCATTTGTTGAACAGTGACCCAGAAGTGCAGTTGTTACAGTCTTTTCTGACTATCTTGTGGCTTGTGAGGACTTGTGAGGAACTTATGAGGACTTGACGACAATACTGTCAATTCTACCATTTTTCATCCAACAGATGTGCCCCAGGATTTGAAGGAAATCCCAGAATCGTCGGTGGCAGTTGCACCCCTATTGGCCAGCGTAAGTTGACTTCTCCAAATTAGCGACAACTGACTTTCAGTCAGATTTTCTGAAACCCTCCTGGCCTTTAGATGTTTAGTCTTGTCTTTTTTCAAATATATCAACATACTCCTGTTTTGTGTCTGTAGAGGAGCAAGCACCGATCATCACAATCACTCCGACAGAGCTGTCCGGTGTCCTGTCTTCTACCATCTACATCCGGGTGTATATCCAGAACTCATTCATCTCGGGCACCTGGAGCCGTGCTGATGGGAGTCCTCTACCTCCCAATGCCATCCAGCTTCCAGACAACTCGTTACAGGTATCGAAGATTGTGAAGCAGTCTTTGTTGAAACAACTCATTTGATTACTTCACTGTGTCTGCCAGTCAAATCCCTAGACCCTGAACTCTTTATGAACATGATAGTTTGTCCACTCTTCTGTTCAAAAGTCATCTCTGATTTTTCTTTCATTTCTATTAAAAAGGAATTTCTGGTTTTGTTCACCCAAGAACCAATCTCAAAGCTGTGATTCTAGTCTTTAACATTCGCTGTTTGGGGCGTAAATCAATTCCTTTCATGTCACCAATTTTTCGTTATCTTTCCAGATCACCAATCTTCAGGCCATCAACAACGGTGTCTACGTATTTGTAGCCAGGAACCAGTATGGCATATCCAGGGCACAGGTTACCATCACAGTCGTCGGTATGTGTAATTTGGGCTTTGGAGTTGGGGCACCATTCTAGGCTTCTCTTCATATTTAGTGTCGTTGCTCATTTATACTAAAAAATTTTTAAAAATTGAAAAAACAGTATTACAGCCAGATTTTAGCTGGTTCCAAGTTTTATTCATCAACACCTGCAGCCACAACCACAGACTCATGATTATGTAATTTCCAGCTGCAGCCAATTAATTCAGACTTGGCCCAAAGCTGTCTTCTTTAAACATGTCTCTGAAGCTTTTACACTTGCTTGACTCGATATACTGACCTCTATGGGTCATGCACAATTAGAATGGAGCTCAGATAATACGAGCAAGTGCCCTTATTTTACTACAGGTCCCAGTATGCGGGTCATTATTGACGACCCGGTTGACCTGGAGGTCGAGGAGGGGTCAACGGTGACTTTCACCTGTCAAGGCATCAGCCAGGTTAGAAATTCAACAAAATTCAACCTTATCATATATTAAAGGCTTGCTCCACCCTACCAAAGCCCACCCTCAAACACTGAATTGTATTCAATAACAAAAACAAGATAAATAATAGCAATTTTTGCCCTGCCTTTCACGCAGAATCCACCATTTGGGGGTTTCTTATATTTTCATCTATTCCCGGAGACATTTTGTAACACTACAAAACTTTGTCAAGAATCAAAACATTTGTAGTGAATTTTCTTTCATTGTGCGGGGTACAGTTTAGGGTCCCTTTTTGACTATCCGAGGGATTGGAGCAATTCCGAGCCTAATTCACAGGGTGATCACACCATTTGGACCATCATAACATGAAGAGTAAGAACCCAACTGAAAAAAGATATGAGCAGCCATTTTTGAAATGTGCAAAAGAAAAACCACTGCCAACTGCTTGCTGACTGCATCGATCTGAAATGTACATTGAATCCAAAAAATTAGAGGGCCTGACAGTTTGCCCCAAAGAATATTTCTCCGGGGCAAACGTGTGTAATCCCCAGGTAACCATTGAGATGTTTAAAAGTTTTTCATGGCCTGCAAGTCCAAATACTGATAGCTTGTGTCGTTTTTCCTCGCCAATTGTCGGTAGTACGGCGAGTGGATAGACTCCTGCTCTGGAGAGCCTTGCTCGGTCCTGCCCAATGGGAATAGGACATCCAAGGTGATACTCACATTGCATGATGGGATTGTGGATGCTCGCCTGATTGTTGGTGTCACATTTTGCCCAGCATGTTGAGGAAAATAAGTACAAATGAAAAATTGCCAAATTGTTCGAATGATGATTTGGAAGGCTGCAACTGATGCGGCTACAATAACAGATAATTTTTTTATGCATGCATCGAGAAATGGAGAAAATATGGCCAGTTTAATTTCTGATTTTGACTTGGTAATACACATTTCAGGACATCTAATTGAATGTTGGTTAATCAAACTTCTTTAGGATGAATATTTTTGCTCTTGTGGATGATGCGAAAAGTTCTTTTTTTTTGCACTGCCTTGATTTAAGTCACAAAGTCAACTCAGAATTGGTATGTTACGTTCAACACTGGTCTTGACGCAGACACAGAAGATTAGAGTTGTCAGCACAGGTTTGAATCAATGGGGAATTTGATCCGACTGAAATTATTTGAACTGCCGCAGAATGCTGGAAATACTCTGGGTGAAAAGGCTAAACCTTGCAACAATGTGGAAAAAGTTCAACAATTAATGAATTTAATTTGTATGCATGATATCTGTGCATGAGCAGACATGTCCAAATCAAGAGCATTGTGGAACCAAATTTTCTGGACAGCCTTCAATGGATATTAAGTTAATTTCCTCTGAGTTGTCTTTGCATGGAAGTCTTATTTCTCTTACAAGAGTTTCAGAAGTTAGAATGCTATAAAAATATTCCAACGAGGACGTTGCCTACTGCAATTGGGAATGCCCTCTGTTTCTGCGTTGAAGAATGCATTTCCCAAATGAGAATATTGGTCAAAAATGGTCTGTGCCTCCGCACACTTCACTGAGGAACCTGGCTAATTCCTAAGGGGACTCGCTCACGAGCACTCCAATTTTTTAAAGCGTTCCCTTACATCTAGCTTTTTCGTACCTCCCCCCCCCAGGTTGCGTACACACTGGCATGGACCAGGCAAGGCAGTCCCCTGCCACCCAATGCCAGGGATGTAATGGGGAAACTCACCATTCCACTGGCGACCGAGGAGGACCAGGGGATTTACATCTGTACGGGCTCCAATATGCACGACGTGGACCAGGCCTACGCCAGGCTCTCTGTCACATGTAAGTTGATCACCTGACCCCCCCTCCCCCAGCACCCCCGTTTCTTCTTGTTCTTTGTTCACACGCAGTCTTCAATGGGAATATTGGATCCAAGTAGACTGAGCAACTCTGTGATTTTCAAGTAGTTGTTTTTCCAGCGTAATAGCTTACATGCACGACACACTATGGATCACATAAATAGAGTAGAGTGTTTGGTTTTAAATGTATGACAGTATAGAGCTCACAGAAGGGAACTGCACATTTGTACTCTGTTCTCTTTCACATCATACTCAATGCTTCTGACCTGTCCGTATTGTAAGTTTTACTGCAGAACATAAGGCACTGCTGGTACAGAGTCTATGCATACATTTTTTAGTATAGGCGTAGTTTTTCATAGTGGTTGTGACAAATCATGCACCTGTTTGGTAGAATTTCTTGCTTTGCAAATTTATGTGCTCACCAAGGTTGGCAGAAAACTGGTCGTAAGTAATATAGATAGCGTGCATGTTTGGTTGGTAACCTGTTTCAGCTATGCAAGTGCTTAGCAGATCCATGAAGTATGCTCATCCGGTGTCTTTCGTATCATTCACATGTTGTTCTTTCCATTGTTGTTCCGTAGCATCATTCCGACCGCCCAACGTCCGCATCACGCCGCGTTTCATCGAGGCAGAGGAGGGCAACGCCATTGAATTTACCTGCGTCGCCGACGGCAACCCGCCGCCCACTCTGGAGTGGCGGGGGGGCCGTGGAGGTGTGGTGAACCCCCGAGCAACCTTCGTGGACGGTGTATTCCGCATTGACAGCGTGGAGCGGACGGATGAGGCCGAGTACTTCTGCCATGCTTCCAACTCGGAGGGGTCCAGCAGTTACCGCGTCGTCCTGTACGTCCGAGGTAAGTCTTCTGTAAGACATCTGTAAGAACCTCGTCTCAGGTTTATATTATGTACCACTAAAGACTGAAACCATGTTCAATTGGCAGATTTTCCTTGGACAAAGTAACCCAGTAATCTGTCCATCAAACTGGTCAATTTGGATATCATTCTAGAAAAAATAAGTTGTATGTAGGTTTTGATGGGCCTTTCAAAGAGGAAAAACACCGAGTTGAAACCTCCTAAAACAAAACAGTTTTTCAACTTGAGAGCAGTTGGCATGAGACTAGAGTTATATCACCAGACAGTACTGATAAAGAGTTTGATACCTGCCAAAACTTAAAAAACACTGAAACTTGAAGATTCAAGTGCGGTTGGGGTGTAAACGAGTTACAAAACGGAACTGGGCTTGTTGTTTGAGCTGGAGAATTTCTGCTCAAATCTCTGCTGTCTTTATCCCCACTTTCAGCCTCCAAGGTGCCCAAGGTCACCATTGACCCACTGGAGCAGCAGGAGATCACCGAGGGCGCCCGGGTGGTCCTCTTCTGCGGGTCCAGCGGCGACCCCCAGCCTGTGGTGACTTGGTCCCGCCCAGGGGGGCTAGCCCTCCCGTCGCAGTCCCGGCAGGAGAACGGCTACCTGATCATCCCCAATATCCGGTTCGAGGACCAGGGGGTGTACATCTGTACGGCAGTCAACTCGCTGGGGTCTGGCACGGGCGAGATTGACATCCGAGTCAGCCAAGGTGAGTGGACCGTTGATATTTTAAGAGCAGACATTCCTGCGATCTTGACTTTGAAATCTGTGCTGACATGCTCTTGAAGGTTTGCGTGGTGGATGTAGCAAGGTGACAAAGGTATCAAATAGCTTCTTGTGAAATCTTTTTGGTCTGTGAGGTCCTGAAGAGAACCGCTTCCGTGCTGTTACCTGTTTTTGTGACAGAGCATTTTATCACTACATCTCCTACTTGATTTGTCACATTTGTTGACTTACTTTTGGCAGCCCGTTGAACTGATTGCGTTTAGAGCCATTCAATTTTATCATCACATCGTCAACATTTTGTTGATGTGGTTATGTTTCCACTTTCTGTTAATTTTAATGGAATTTGATGGAATTTCTTTGGACTTTATACCCTCACCTCTTTGTCAAAATGGGCAAGGTTTTCTAGCCTTCCTTGTGTCTCAGCATTGCAGAATTTTTGACGTCATCACTGTGTCTCCTTAACAGACAACCGACTGCCACCCACTGCTCGCATCGAGCCGCGGGGAGCCATCATCAACCAGGGAATCACACAGGTCCTGAGGTGCATCGTCACCGGTAACCCCACCCCTACCATTACATGGTCACGTCGAAGTGGACCACTCAGGGTGAACCACGTTGTAAGTAAAATCACTCCAACTTATTTTCTCTGGGAAACATTTACTGATAGAAGAAAGTACGCACTTTTTCATCGTTTTTTAATACAATGACCAAAAATGAACAGGAAATTTGTTGAAAAATGCCACGACAAGACCTTACAAGTCATCTAATCTCGAGACATGTCACAGGTTATCCAAAGCCATCCCTTTGACAGTAGCAGAACGGTTTTAAAAGTGGGGGATTAAGCCCTGACCACTAGACTGAATAGAATACAGTAATAATTTTGCAATGTACCCGTAATGGCTGGAAGGCCTAAAAAGTGTGTGGCGGGGAGGGGGAAATAACTACCTTTTCAAGGGTGGGGACAACAGCCCCCCCCCCCCGTTCCTCCATTGGTGTATCCCTTTTTTATCGGTATTCTCAATGACTTATGTTGGATGCGATGGAATTGTAAATGATTTACAAGTCCATGCATCACGATTTACTTCAGACTTTTGAAAAGCTTCCGGCTCATGATGAACTTGACTGAGTTCGCTGAGCGTGATGTGCACCAGTATGAATTATTTGTCGAAAACCAGAGCTTAGCAATGCTCTTTCCAAGTAGGTAAGGCGAATAAATAATGTTCATTTGTCACATGCAGGTGTCCAACGACATGCTCCAGATTCGAGATGCTTCCGAGGCGGACGAAGACTACTACACCTGCCGAGCTGAGAATAGTGCTGGATACTATGAATTCAGCGTGGAGATCAGGGTCCAGCGTAAGTTAAAACATTTTTCCACTCCTCCCCAACTTGGCACAAAAGTTCATTTTTCGTTGATGCAATCCAGACTTAAAAATAGCCGTTAGTGAAGTACAGTAACGACGAGCGTAAAATTTAATATCATTGAATTCGAAAATGTAAGATCCAGTGCCGCAGACTAAAACCCATTCTGTACGCGTACGTTGTCCATGCAGGGCGCCAGCCACCCAGCCTGCGTATATTTCCATCGTCCAATGCGGTCGTCAGCCAAGGGGACAGCATCCAGTTCCAGTGCCAGGCCTCTGGCATCCCTCAACCCAATGTGTTCTGGAGCCGCGTCGGTGGCCAGGGCTTCACAGGACAAACTTATGCCAATGTAAAGATCCGCCACTTTGCATTTTTATACCATTTATTCTGTTTTCTTTTTTTTTGGGTGTAAACTTGTATTTTTAACAGTCAGATCTGTATGAATCCAAGATTCATAATATGCTCTCTCTTACCTCTAGTTTCAAAATGTAAACACATCTTATTTGGTCAAATCAGACTGAGCCTTTTTTTTTTTTTTGAGTTGAAGAAAGATCAGTGCTTTAATCATTTTTTTAGTCTGGAATTTTTTCAGTTTTTCGCAGTAGGATCCACCTCATTCTTCCACAATTTTTACTCACAAAAATATGTAAGAAGACAAAAATTGAAAAAAATGACACTCACGCTGCATCAGTCAGTAAAGTGAGCAGTTTCATTGGTTGGTTGCTGATGAACAGGGCACCAGCTAAATTGTCAACCAACGTTTTGGTCATTTTCCATTTTTAAAGACTACCTCAGTTCTGTTGTTTTTCTGTGCTAGGACAATGAAGGGACGTTGTTGATTATCGGGGCCACACCTAACGAGCAGGGTGCGTACATTTGCACAGCAAACAACACAGTTGGAACCATACAGCAAACAGTGACCTTGACTGTTCATGGTAAGGAGACCTTTATTTGCGGTAGACCTTAACCCTAACACTCCTCAGTCCTCCAACAGGTGAAGGATTGAGGAGTGTTAGGGTTAAATTCTGTTCTCTTGGTCTGTTTGTTCATGGTGGAGTACTCTGGTATATTAAAATTTCAAACTGTGAGGGGGGTGTCCAGATTTTTGTGAAAAGACTTGTGGGGTCTCACTGTGCCCGTTCTGTGATTTAAACGATTCTTTGCTTACCAGGTTTGTGGATACTAGGGTAGAATACCTGTTTTAGCGCTGGGCATCGGGGTGAGCACAGAGTTTTGTGGTTAGCAGGGTTTCTGTTCTGCTAACCATGGAATTCTGTGCTGATGAGCAGCTTGTGATGTCCTGACAGTGCTGGTACAGAAACTATTTGCCAACCGATTGCAAGAAAGCATGCAATACTTGGCACCACACTCTAAAAACTCCCGGGTCAGATTGACCCAGATTTGGGTCCCATCCAATATGACCCTTTTCCAGGTCAAATTATGACCCAGAAACGGTCAAGTATTACCCATTCTGGGTCAAATATGACCCAAAAGAGGGTCATATTTTGACCCGGAAAAGGGTCACACCGAATGGGACCCAATTCAGGGTCAATCTGACCCAGGACTTTTTAGAGTGTACAATTTACAAATGCAGGACACTACAATTTGCCTGCAAACTAAAGAGAAATACTTACTGTTTTTGCAGAATTTTCTGCTTTGGTTAGCTATTGCTTGCTTGAGGGTAAAGCTGGCTGCATTGACCAGTTTGCTGGCTGAGATAAAGGCTTTCGAAGATTGCAGACACTGATTTATCCTGTTGGTGACATAGCAGCTAGTTATCGATCCTCTTTTGCTATTGTTGAAAGCCTTTGATAAGACCAGGGAGCTGGTAAAGATAGGGATTGGTGTGGTGGAAATTGGGCAGAAGTGTTTCAGTGGGAAAGCTTGTGTTTTTGATTAACCTGTAGGAGCGCCCCGCGTGGACATCAGCCCGGCCAGCCCAGCCCAGTACCGGGTGGGCGACACGATGGTCCTGGAGTGCGTAGCCTCGGGCCAGCCCCTGCCATCAGTCCAGTGGATGAAGATGGGTACGCAGAGCCTGTACGAGCCCCTGCGGGCCCAGGACTTTGACCTAGCCACAGAGAATGAGGGCAGCGCGGTGTACACCATTGACGCCGTGGACATGACCCACGCTGGAAGCTACATGTGCCGGGCCGAGAACGCAGTGGGATTCCACGAACGGGAGATCCTCATTGATGGTGAGTCGGCGCAAATAAGTGACAGATTGAAATTGTGACCTGCATATTCAGTCAACTCCGAACTCCCATCACGGACGTAGAAAGTAAACCTCCACAAGTTCCAGTGCTTCGGCTGTGCTCTCCTTCTCCTCTTTTTGAGAGCACAGCTGCATCAGTAGACCTGGCTTCACCTCTCGTGTGAGGGCGGCAGCAGTTCGGCAGTGTTGGACAATGTTAAACAGCCATGTTAATAATACCAACATATTTATTATATCAAACATAGCATTGACACAGAGAATGTAAAAGTTTTCCTTGGGTTTAAAAAACAAAACTTTACTCCAAATTTAGTAAATTTGATTTGCTCTCTGTCTTAATATTCTGTGCTTCCCAGGATTGTTAAGATTTTAACATCTTGGGGTGTGAAGTGTTACCAACAAAAGACAAAAACTTTTGATGCAGACTTTACGGGTGACTGTTATTTTTGAGGATTTCCTTTTTGAAGAAATACTGTTCGTAGGCTTACAAATGTACTCCACTGCAGAGTACAAATGTTGATGTCTTGATACAAATGCTGATCGGCCATTTTGAATCTGGTTATTTCCACTGCTTTCCTGAATGAGTGATGCAGCTTCAGCCTGTTAAATCCCACTGAATGTCTTCCATTTTCCTGTGGCAGTTGTGGAGGGTGAGCAGCCTCGACCGCCTCGCATCGAGGTGTCCGTGGAGGAGCTGGAGAGAGTGGAAGGCGAATCGGCTCGATTCAGCTGCCGTGCATCGAGTGAGCAAATGAGGCTGGGGGGGGCACACAAAAGGGTCTAGATCAGAAGTAGCATAAAACAAAAAAGATTGAATGCAATTTCCACAGTTTGTCAATGCAGCCAGGTGAGGATATTTGTAACGAAAAGCGACTAGTGAGCTTCTGTACTGCTTGGAATGAGGGCTAAATGAATTTATGAATTTTTGAACATCAGGGAAGACCTTAGCCCTATCTTCTAGAGAATGATAGAAATTCCATGTGAGGTTACATTTCAGTACATCTTAAAATGTTTATCTTGTTTTTCAATTTAGGTTCAAATATCCATTAGCTGAATGGCCTGTAGTATGGGACTTATACATTACTATAGTTTGTCACGGTACTTGGCTGCTGAAAATTTGAAGGAAAACTTAGTGCAACGACTGGAGAATTTATTCATTCGCCGGTGAGCTGTAATTGAAAACAAGTCGTGCCTGGAAAAAAATGTGCGAAGATTTGAGACTGCATTGAAATCGTTGAAACTAATTTTTTTCTGGCTTTGGTTTACCCCGGTCAGATTTGGCGGACGGGACATACGCCATCACCTGGCGTCGTCTGGCCGGCATGATGCCCTCCATGGTGACCGTCGACAACGGCATCTTGATCTTCCCCGAGACGCGGGCCGAGTACGCCGGCCAGTACTTCTGCATCATCACCACGGGATTTGGTGTCTTCCAGCAAGTGGTCACCCTCATCGTGTTGGGTGAGTTGGTCTCTTTCACCAGGTCCGGAAAGACTTGTGTAAGGCCAAGAGTCGCTCAGAAACTGTGCACCCACGGACCCACATGTGGAACTAAAAAACCCAGCTGAGAGCCCGTGAAGGGCTGTGCAAATTTGCATAACATGTTCACCGTTAACCTGGTTCTGCTCAGCAAATATATTTTTCAGTTCTTAAGCAAGTTTCTATGTTACTCTGTGAAATTGACTCCTTGGCCCAAGAATGCTGTTAGCAGAAAGGGTACACCTTGCCCAGGGCCAAGGTAAAAACAAAATAATGTTGTTTACGTGTGCCTGCTAGCAGCGCATTGTTTGCATTTTTCATCTTTTAAGAAACAAATAACAGAAGACTTGACCATATTATGCCTTCTTTTTTTTTAACCTAGTTCCACCGAGGCCGACTGTTTCCCCAGCTGGTCAGACAGTCCGAGCTGGCGACATGATCCGTATACAGTGCATGGCCGAAGGAACCCTGCCTATGACGTATGAATGGCAGAAGGTCAGCTCTTTTTGATGTTTTCATCACAAGATTGATGAATAGATATTTACAAGCATAGAATTCTATCCATCAGACCTTTTGATGGTCATGAAAGCTTCAAAAGCATTCTGTGTTTGCATTTTTGATGGGTTTGAATTATTTTCTCTTTTTTTCGTTTAGGTTGGAGGTCCACTACCCCCGACTGCTTCGGATGCACGCGGGATGCTCCAGATCACCATGGCAACAGCCGCTGATGCGGGCGAGTACATCTGCACGGCCACCAACAGTGCTGGTTCGCGAAGCATGTCAGCGACGGTGTACGTTCAAGGTATGGCAGAACTGCCACGTAACTCGGACACAGACTGTCCAGTGTTTCAACCATTGCGTCTCTGGAAGTCATCTATTTGGACGGTTTAAACTGCCTTCTCTCTGTAAATTTTAACTAAGTGTAAAAATATTTTTCAAATCTGAAATTTGAGTTAACAGAGTTCTATCACTACTTTTGGGAGGTTTTCATTTCAATTTCCAACTCACCAGTGATGTTGTTATTCATATTGATTACTCTTGTGCTAGTTGGGTGGTTTTTGCGGATGATTCTCTTTAATGACACTGTGCGGTAGGCTTTTTATTCAGGGGAAAGTCCCTGCTGTTTGATCCTGTAGTTGAAAAGAGGCGGGTAGTGTTTGGCAAGATTTTTTCTGCGGGCCTAACTTCTTTGTCTGTTACGCAGATTTACGTCACAAATTTGTACGTAGTGCAGTGGACTTCATATGCATTCCAATGTCATGGAATAAATGCCAATTTATCGTTTACTATACCCTTTCTTTCTCTCTTCCTTTGGTATAATAGTGCCACCGACGGTCAATGTCAACCCAGTCCGGGAGACAAGGGCCATTGGTGGGTTTGTGGAGTTCATGTGCCAGGCAACCGGTAGCCCGCCACCGGTAATCCTGTGGGAGAAGGAGGACGGTTTCCTGCCGGTGCAGCACAGCATTCAGAGTGGGCTCTTGAGGTAACGGAGAGTTGCATGGGTGCTTATTTTAGTTTATCTACAGAAATCTCCCCAGCTCTTGCCAAAAGAGGAGTTCAGAAATGAACAGTGAAATTCCTTACTTGATGGTAACTTGTCAAATCGTTTCTTTGCCCTTCTCCAGTATCAGGAACCTTCAGCCTGGCGATGAAGGTCGCTACATCTGCACAGCCAACAGCACGGCAGGCTCCTCCAAGGCGTACTCCAGACTGGCCCTCCAAGGTGAGAAATGCACGTGGGCCAGTTCAAAATCTGTTCTGTTAGTCTTGTGCCCCACATCTCACTGGGGAAGTCACAGTTGAGAGAGAATCACATTGGTCATTGCACATGGTGGAAGGTCCCGTGTAATGGCTGAAGCTTTTGCTAGAGGTCGTTCAGTTAAGAAATCTTTAAATGGGCGGTTATTTAGCACAGTGACCGACACAATGCTGTCAGTGTTACAAATTATCTCCCTGATCGAGTTATCTGGGATCAATGTGTCTTGATTCGACTTTACAAGATTTGGGGAGGTTTTGGCTGACACCCTAAGCACGGATTGGTACATTTTTCTTAACACTGGTCAGACAGTTAAATGGTTTAGCCAATCAAGATTCCTGGAAACAGATGACAAGCAACAAGCTATAATTTGATTATTCTTACCACCAGTATTGTTTTCCTGTGGTCATTACTTTTGATGGTACTTGTGTTTTTTTTTACAAAGGCTACTGAAAAAGTTTTTTTGTAGGGTCTTTTTTTTCCCTTGTTTTGTATCCTAATTCGCATAGATTTTCCAATGCATCAGTTTGCAGTAGCACCGTGTACACATTAATCTTTCATGGTTTTGCCAATCCAGGATCCTAGTTAAATTCTTCATTCCTAGAGGTCTTCGATTTTTCTTCAGACAAAAGAAGATCACTGTTTGACACATAGAGTTAATGAATTCTTCTGTAAGCCACACTTGCATGAGAACCACACCCACATGAGAGCTACACCCACATGGATGGGATGGCAAGGTTTCATACAACTTAATGACTCAAGTCTTACTAGTAGACTCTGTACACAATTTCCTCATTTCATATCTGTGCTCTTGGCAGCTGCACCTTCGGTGGAGATCAGCATCCACACCACCGTCCAGTTCATCGCCATCGGCGAGTCCGTCACCTTCGAGTGCAAGGCCCGGGGCGACCCGGAGCCGGTCATCCAGTGGAGCCGGGAGAACGGCGAGCTGCCCATCACAGTCGTCATCCAAGGGGGCATGATGACCATCCCCCAGGTGCAGCTGCAGGACGCGGGCACCTATCTGTGCACCGCCACCAACATCGTGGGCTCACAGACCTCCAAGGTCATCCTCTACGTGCAAGGTGAAATGATTTGCCGACTTCTCCAGGGGCAGGGTTGGGGGGACGAAGAGAAATCCACAAACAGCCAACAGCAGTAGAGTCGCAACGGTGACAACAATAGGGCTCTGGGACTTTTCAGGCCTCTTAACAGCTAACAAATTGTATTGTCTCCAAAGTCGCCATGGTTATGCGAATCATGTAAGCCTGTTTGGCTTTTCACTCAAGGTGCAAAACAGTGGGAAAACCTGATGGATTAAATTTGAAATAGTCAACAACTCCTGAAATCTTGAAAAAATCCCGACAAACCAACCCCTGCTTCCCCGCCTTTCCTTTTAACAAAAAATGAAATTGGGGCTTTACAGTTTTGTATTTTTGGGGAAGAAGTTTTTTTACTCATTCGAAATATGAAGAATAAAGAATAAGGTGTAAGAAGGTTTATACTGACATAAATTTAAACCCACCAATTTAGAAGAGCGCTCCCATGAACCATTTCTGTTATTTTTGAGCGATTCGAAAGACAGCTGGTCCTTTTGGCTTCATCCACACCCTTCAAGTCCTACAATCATTTCAGTGGAGTGATGTAACTCACAAGCTTTTTTTTGGCGTGTGCCTTCTCACCTGCCGACAGCCAAGCCGCAAGTCCTGGTCATCCCCCAGGAGCGCAACGCACCAGTGGGCACCCAGGTGGAGTTCACCTGCATCGCCTCGGGTTTCCCACCTCCCCAGACCTCCTGGTACAAGCAGAGCGGTGACATGCCCGGCCGCTACACCATCCAGAACGGCAAACTGACCATCGCCTCGGTGACGGAGGACGATGAAGGGGTGTACATCTGCAGCTCCACCAACGAGAGGGGCACGTCCGAGTACCCCGTCACCTTGACCGTCGGAGGTATCAACTCGTTGATTTCTCGTTTGTCAGGGTTTTAATAACACTTCAAAATTGTCTGGCTACAGAAGTTGCATCCCCATATCACACTATCATTAATACACGTCTGACAGCATCTTTTCTAAGGCGTCAGTACATGTACGCTATCATTGACCCTGCTGATGGGGCTCATAACATCATTCCTGAAGCTATCTCCACCTCCTTGGGAGTAGGCAGCCCAAAGCTGCCATTTTAGGCACACTCAACACCCTATCTGTCCCCACGGTTACCTGCGCATACCTTGGTAATTTGGTAAAGGCCATTTGGAATCTTGTCATTTTCTCAACCATGGCTTTTTTGTACCAACCCCATTGCTTCTACAGAGTTGATTCCCTACTTCACCCAGATGCCCGTGTCTTACATCTCCTTCCCACCGCTCCAGCGGTCCTACATGGAGTTTGACCTGACCATCTCCTTCAAGCCAGAGAGCTCCCAAGGTACAACCCCTACACAATTCAGTGCGCGATCTCGTGTAGGAGAACCCCTCGCTGGAAAACACGGCGAGGCTTATTGGGATACATTTCATCTTGCGTGCCCAGTGCATAGGCCATACAAACCATACAGACCATCCCGACGGGAATCAATCGCTCATGCGCAGCGCAGCCTGCACCAGGCATGTCTGTAAGGTTCCCAGCCACTCTTGCAATCTGAGAAAACCTGGGAAATGTTAGGTTTCCCGTCGTGCCCTTGTGAAAAATCAGGGAATTAAAGACAAATGCCGCAAATCAGGAAAAGTCAGGGAGTTAGATTGGCCGTAAAGAGAAAGCGGTCAGTCTGCACTCCTTCATTTTGTTCGCGTCCAACATGTCTTCAACGACGTCAAAGGCACGACATACGGGAAATAGGTCAAAATAATTTTCCTGGAATTTGGGAAACTCATCAGGAAAAAATCAGGGAATGTTGTTTTATTGAAATGCTCAGAACCCTGCTCTGTGAAATGAGCAAGAAACCACCAGAGCCACTGTTGAGTTTCAGTTTGCATTGGAAAGAGCAAACGTCGCTCTCTGTTTGGATGTATCGCTCGGTTTGGTTTCCTGCTGTAAATAAACACAAAGTAGGTGAAAGATGTTGAGGGTACCCATTGTTGTTTTTAGTATGAGACTCTTTTGAAAGGCTTCAGATCTGGAAAGTGGCTCTGACGACTCGTGACTCATGTTCACAGAATGGGTTATATGTGTGTGTGTGTATTTGTCTGTGCATGTGGTGTGTCCCTCTCTGAAGGTACATTATTTAAATGCCGTCTCTTGTTGCTGGTTGGAGCAGCCACTTGCATTGTCCAAGTGCTGGACTTCAATTACGCTGTTGCCGGGGAAGGTTTTGAATCAGAAAATGTACGCCATTTATGGATGTGCACCCATTACACCAGTTTCACATTTGCAAATATTTCTAGAATGTTGATGATGTGCCAAGCGATGTTAAGCATGAAGTAGATCCAGTTTCTTCCACCATCATGCCTTTTCCTCATGTTTACCTCTTTCCTCGGTCGTTTCAGGCCTGATTCTGTACAACGGCCAGACCATGGAGGGCGACGGCGGCGACTACATTGCCTTCGGCATGCGCGACAATTTGGCCGAGTTCCAGTTTGAGCTGGGCTCGGGCCCGGCCATACTGACCAGCGTCCAGCCCCTGGCCCTGGGCCAGTGGCACACGGTGCGGCTGTACCGCAGCAAGCGCTTTGGCCTGCTGCAGGTGGACCAGCAGCCCGAGGTGACTGGCAACTCCAGCGGGGCCTTCCTGGGCCTCAACCTGGTGCAGAAGCTCTACCTGGGCGGTGTGCGGGATTTCGAATCGCTGCCCCAGGCCGTGCGCTTTGAGAATGGATTCATAGGTGAGTATAGTGGGTCTCGGGTCAGTGCAGACCTACGTCAGGCACAGTTGCACCACAAGCTTTGGAACTCGCCAGTCACAGAGATTATATTGCACTGCATATTTCATCCAACTGGTTCCCATCTGGTTTTGGCTTAGTATAGAATATTGCTGAGCAATTTTTCTGCTGAGCTCTGTGAAATTGACCCCCCCCCCATGTTTTTGAGATGTGCCACTAGTTAACTTCAATTTGTTGGGTTAACGCCAATCTAGGAAATGTCTTAGAGTAAAACAAAGCCAGTAAGTTGAGGTCATTATTTCCGTATCCTCTTCATTTCAATCCCAGGATGCATCAGCCAGTTCATCATCAACAGGCAGAAGATCTACCTGGGCAGCGAGCTGGGTTCCCGGGTCGGGATCAGGGCCTGCCCGACCTGCGACATCAACCCTTGCAACAACGGCGGCGTGTGCCAAGAGGCCAGCACAGAGTTTGGCTTCCAGTGTGTCTGCCAGGCCGGCTACACGGGCATGCAGTGCGATGCCGTTGAGCGATGTGTGGACGGTCAGTTCCATTTATTTTTCTTCCCCCCCCTCTCATTTTTGGTTTTTCCTGCTTCCGTTTGGCGCCAGACGCTGGTATTTCAAACAGGTTTCAGATTTGCGTGACCGAAATCTTGACAAAAGGTAATTTCTGCTTAGTTCTCAGCATAGATTTTCTTCTAAAAAAACGATTATTAGCAACATAGCTACCTGGGAAAGGAATACCAAAAGATAAGTAATGCAGATATAGTTGACTGTAACAGGACTCGACCCTTTAACCTTTGCAGCACTGTGTCTGCGCTCTGTGACCAGAGCTGCTGCTTTTTACACCAGCATCCCTTCCCTTGCAAAAAACCCAGAAAACTGCCAACATACAAAATTTTGATAGAGCAACGGTACAATTTTCTTGAGGTCACACCTTCAAATCCAGCTCCGGTCAGTTTTCTTTTGTTCGCAGTTGCGCAACTGCTTTGTCGGTAGACCACTTGTGCATTATTCTGGTTTATATAACGGGTTTTGCCCTTACCCAAGGTATATATTAATTCTGGTGGTCACAGGTTCGATTCCCACTTCAGTCAATTTTTTTTTAATTCCCTGTTTGGACTGAAGATTTCTCCTGTGTTTTCTGGTTTTCTGATCAAGGCCTGTGCGGCTTGGGCTACTGTGAGGAGAACCCTGGACCGGTTGGCTACCGTTGCATCTGCCCACCAGGGCGCAGCGGACAGCACTGCGAGATAGGTAAGACGAAGGTGTGAGAATCTTGACAGGTTCGACGCTAGTTTGATCGTGGACAACATCAATCTGCCCGGGTAGCCGATTTTGACTGGTGCCGCATTATGTTTATGCAAGTTGTCCTGATGGATGTGAGACGATGAATAATAATGATAATAATAATTATAATAACGAGCACTTGTAAAGTGCCCTCTATCTAGCGAACTATCCCAAGGCACTGTATTATCATTATCCCGGCACATTGGGCTCACACATTATCTGAAAATTCCTGAAACCATCTCAGCTCCCTGGGGAATATACTCGCCCGGTGCTGCCATTTCGGCACAAATGGCTAAACAACCGTGCCTGCCCTCACAGGTACCCATTTACTCCTGGATGGAGAGAGGCACACGGGGGTAAAGTGACTTGCCCAGGATCACAACATGCTGCCACCAGCTGATTTCGAACCCCTGACCCTATGATCAGAAGCTACAAACCCTAACCACTAGGCCACATGCCTCCCCATAAAATTTCAATCTCAACCTTCAACCCATAAGCTGTTTCTGCTCTGATGAAAGATGTTGTGAGAATGTATTAGACAAAAAATGAAATTCTCACTTCAAAATGAGGTCTTTCATGCAGCATGCATCAGTCTATTTTTGGCAAAGTGATATGTGGGTCCATTTTTGTTTTTGATTCGTTGAAAGCATGATATTACAGATTGTTTTATATGCATTGGAATGCACGCATGTACAAGTGAGGCCTTCTAAGGAAAGTCTTGCAATATGATATTCCAAAAATTGAAATTCTTGTCTTGTGAAATCGGGTGATCGCCTGTTTGAAGGACGATTAGTTCGTCATTGTTATTCCAAGGACTGGAAGCTTTCTTCAAGGAAAAATGACCAATTCTTCCATGATTGTGCAGAAATTAATGCTGACTAGAGAACAGCTCATAAACATCATGCTGATTTGTGAATACAATTCACATTAATAAGTATACATGTTTAATCCAGTGATTCAGTGCTAATGAATTTATATTAATCTTCATTTTGTCTGTAACACAATTGGATCCCTGCAACTGGTTCATTTTTACAAGAATGTAGTCATTTACATACAAGCCTGTGTATATGGGCTGATTAATTTCCAACGAATATTTCCTGTCATTTTTTTCTGCATGATTAATTCTAGATTCATTATACCTTTGATAAAAGAAACTCTCGTTTACTTGTCCCTTCTGTCTGC